TGCACAGTTTTGTGCGGTGTTCCTCAGGACTCTGTATTCTGTCTCCTCCTCTTCAACCTCTACATGCTCCCCCTTGGTGACATCATCCACAGACATGGGGTCAACTTCCACATGTATGCAGATGACACCTAACTCTATCTCTCTGCTTCCACCCTTGACTCCAGGACCATTGCTGTCCTGACAAAATGTCTGTCAGCCATCAAGTCCTGGATGAGAGCTAACGTTCTTCAGTTGAACGTCAACAAGACCCGAGGCTCTCCTGATTGGCTCCTTTCAATTGGCTCCCCCACACGTCAGGCACTGACAGCATCACCATCCATGGTTGCACACTCCACCTTATTAAGCCAGTCTGGAACCTTGAGGTCTTGTTTGACCTCCAACTGTCCTTTCTACCCCACATCAATGCCACAACACGCTCTGTCTTCCCCCATCTCCGCAACATCACCCAGCTCCACCACTGTCTCACACCGCAGGCGCTGAAACCTCCATAGATGCATTCATAACATTCAGGCTTGACTGTGCCACTGCCTTGCTTGTCAGCTTCCCCAACTCCCTCTACAGGCTGCAGCCCATGCCCTCTCCTGCACCAGGCTCGGTGACCCTATCATCCCCATCCTCGCCCGACTGCACTGGCTTCCCATCACACAGAGATACAGTTGAATATCCTGGTCTTCATCTTCAAAGCTCTCCATGGCCTCGCTCCCCCCTACCTCTGCAACCTCCTAACACCCTACCAACCTGCCCGCTGCCTCCGCTCAGCAGGCTCCGACCTACAACTTCCGTGTAAACTCCTAATGCAACACTCAGTGAAGAACAGAAATCATTCCATAAACTGCAATTTTATTCAAGGCACAAAGGAAACCATGAGAACTTCTGATTCTTGAAATAAGGTGTAAGAAACACATTTTAATTTTGCAATAGGAGTTTATGCATATTTTCATAGAACACATCTTTAAGGTCTTAAAAGAATATTCTTCCATGCACATGTCCCATTAACGGAGGACAGCTGAATATAGACAGAATCTGCACAGAACTTGAATATCCTTCCTACTAGGCGGATCACCTCTAACTAGCAGGTTGGACGCGAACAAAAACAAAATCAAATCATAATGGACCTTCCAGCCATCCACATATATAGCTTGGTGGAGAGATAATTATGAAAGCTATTCCACTTAGTTTACAGTGCACTTGCCACAAATGAGAAAGCTGCTTACAAAATGACACTGTCATTGTAATGACACTGTAAAGCACGGAGGACAATATTGTGTCTAAATTATGATAAATTTTGCTTCAGACATCTGAGGTACAAGTGTATTGAGAAGGAAAACTGGATTTGACATGAAGAACTTGAACTATGATAACTACTCGCACTGCAATCCCAAAACTGACAATGAAAGCTGGAGAAAGTAAATTACAAGGTGAAACAGTGCAAGTGAAAAGGCAAACTATACATAAAAAAACCTGCGCATGCTGATTTATCCTCTACATATATTCTTGCCAGAAAGAAAGTCGTCATCTTTTAAGGAATATTCATATAAATATTCATAGGCTGTCTATTTTGCTCAAAAATTTAATTTGCATAGCTATTTACATACAAAACGCCAATCCAATAGTTACATAAACAATTTTCAGATACTTGAATACAGGCATGTTCATCTGATTCCAGATAAAGGAACATCAACAAAACGAACACAGTATAAGGATTATTAGGACTTCAATTATCCCAGGGGGAAAAAAAAAGTTCTACAGGGGTAAGAGGAATATTCAGAAGTTGTGGTCCATGTTGGGATCCATGACGTAGGGAAAAAAAGGGCTGAGATCCTACAGGGAGAGAATCAGAAGTTAGGGAAAAAGCTAAAGACTAGGATCTCAAAGGTGGTGATCTCTGGATTACTCCCAGTGCCTCGTGCAAATGAGTGTCGAAACAGCAGGATCAAACACATGAATGCATGACTGCAGAAATGGTGCAGAAAGGAGGGCTTCAGGTTCTTGGATCACTGTGACCAGTCCTAGGGCAGGTGGGACTTGTAGTAATAATCCTTGCATTTGATATAGCACTTTTCACATCTTCTAGATGTCTCAAAGCACTTCACAGAATATACAAAGCATACATACAGAATATACAACCTGTACAAAGTGGGTGGGTTACACCTGAACAGGGTTGGGACCAATGTCCTCACAGGGAGGTTAACTAGTGCTGTGGGGAAGGGTTTAAATTAATTTTGAGGGGGGAAGGGTATCAGGATGTAGCATTAGAGAGGACAAACAAGTTACATAGAGGGCTGGGAGAGACGAACAGCAATGTAGTAAAGAGTAATCCAGAAAAGGAGGGATTAGAAGAGGCAGAAATGCAGAACAGACTAAGTCGGTCTTGGGAGTGCATGTGCGTAAATAATGTGTGACGTGTGACAAGTACGATTGGTGAGCTCAGGCTCAAGTTGCCACATGGGGTTATGATGTAGTGGCAATAACAGAGACCTGGGTCCAACAAGGCCAGGAATGAGAGTTGAATATTCCTGGCTACAATGTATTCAGGAGGCATAGGGGAGGAAAAAAAGGAGGAGGGTGGCAGTATTGAATACAGTGGCAAAAGCCAACCCGCAGGCCATATCCGGCCCATCATTGTGTCCAGCAATAGAAACAATTCTAGTCAGGAAGTTATGATGAACCTTTATAAAACACTAGTTAGGCCTCAGCTAGATACTGTGTTTAGTTCTGGGCACCACACTTTAGGAAAGATGTCAAGGTAATGGAGAGGGTGAAAGGAGATTTACCAGGATGGTACCAAGAATGAGGGACTTCAGTTATCAGGAGAGGCTGGAGAAGCTCGGATTATTCTCCTTGGAGCAGAGAAGGTTAAGAAGAGACTTAATACAAGTTTTCAAAATTATGAGTGGATTCGATAGGGTGACCAAGGAGAAACTATTTCCACTGGCGGGTGGGTCGGTAATCCGAGGACACCGATTTAAAATAGTTCTTAAAAGAAACAGAGGGGAGGTGAGGAGAAATTTTTTTACACAGCGAGTTGTTCGGATCTGGAATGCATTGCCTGAAAGCGTGGTGGAAGCCGGTTTGATAACAACTTTTAAGAAAGTAGATAATTATTTGGGGAGGTCAAGTTTGCAGTCTATGGGGTGAGCGCGGGGGAGTCGGATTGATTTGCATAGCTCTTTTCAAAGAGCCAGCACAGACATGATGGGCTGAATGGCCTCCTGTGCTGTATAATTCTATGATTCCGTGATGTCTTCAACCCTGGCATCAGGGAGGCAACATACTATGTGAGTCACATCGTTCGTTGCAGAAATGTGTGTCTACTCTTTTCACCGTTGTGACCCCCAATGATAATTGCATTTTCACTTCCCTGTGTTCCCCTGTGCATCCATTTGCTTTTGACTCCTTTCCCCAGAGGTGTCATCACCCTCAAAATGAGCAGAGTTCCATACTCCCAGTTCCCTCCTCATACTGCTGGGTTCTCTGCTCGTGGTCTGACATTTTTTCAGTTACAGTTTGTAAATCCTTGTCCACCAGAAACAGATTGTGCAAGGATAGCTTTACGAGGTGACGCTGACTTTTCTGTTAACAATCGTTGTGGGCAGAGGTGACATTGTTTCCTGGAATAGTGACCCCTTAGGATGTCGGCCTTCAGTGCTACCTTGTACTGGTCAGTGTCTAAATCTGTATTAATGATAACACCAAGGTTGTTCCTGGGATTCCCTCTACCCTGTGCACTGCTGAGATCACTTTTTCACAAAAGCCCCGTGTCCTAATTTCAGTGATTTTATGGTTTCAAAATTTACTGTAACATATATGTAATATAAAATATACAACATGCCTATAAAAGACATAGTCACTACACTTTACATGATTCCTGTGAAGTGCCTTGCAATATCCTCCTGATGTGAAAGATGCAACATCAATTATAAGTTTTATTATTATTATATGCATATTTGGCAATAACGAGTTCAAATTAATTGCTGTATTATGCACTATTTCTAAAATCCTAAAAGCAAATGTTAAAGAACAGGTATGATATGATTTGTTTGCAGATGCATCGGAGGTCCAGGACGTAGATTAGTTTACAACTTGCCGATGGAGTCATCATCTTACCTGTAAAGCGCAGGCTGTTAACATGTACGGAGGATTCTTCTCAGCAATAATCAGTGGTGAATCACAGGACAAAATGTAATGTAGCAAACTGTAAATCAATTGAAAGAGGAACGCTACCCACTAAGGGTGGTCACCATTATCTTGCATACGACTTTTGGGGATCTGAAGAAAACTAAATAAACCTCAGTGTTCTGTTAGTAATGTTTATTACTGCTTCACAGTTTTGATAAATTGAGCATCTTTTTAAACTTTTCTCCCAACTTTGACCTATTCCCCATTTTGACATATGCCCCACCTAACAATGAACCTCTGCTTCCATTCCTTTTGCCAATTTTGTCCATATCAATGTCTTGCCTTTTGATAAACAGTGATAGTCAGTGAAGGATTCTTCCATGTTGTATTTTGCCAAATGCCTATTGGAAATCCAATTTTAGTGCCTGTGTCATTGACTAGAAACCTGTTCTTTGTGGCCTCCTTGACCCACTGAGTCAGGAGGCAGTCATGCACTAGATAACAACAACAACTTGGATTTATATAGCGCCCTCCACGCCGGAAGGCATCTCAGAGCGCTTTACAGTTTAGGATCCCGGGACCGAGCCAGGGGGAGGGGTGGGAAGGTGACCAAAGGCGCGGTCGAAAAGAAAGGTCTTCAGCAGAGTCCTTCCCATGTTTATGTTGGACTGATTGAAGTTTCTATATCAGTACCTTCTTTTCCTCACATACATGATAATTTATGATACATGATAATTTATGATACATGACACATACATTTAATTTATGATTATAATATAATCATAAAGTGACAAGTTGTTCTCCCTATGTTGCTTTGTTTGTAGCAAACCCAAAATATTAGTCTGTTGGACCTTTTCTCATTGAATATTGTTCTAACGTACCTTTATATATCCACCAGTGGAGATTAACATCTTACTGTTGGGCGAGAAGTGTAGATCTGTAACCCAGCCTCCATGTTTGGAATCCTCAGACTCTTTTGGACATACATGAAGTAAACATCCATCTCTTACCCTCCAGATCTACCAAAAAAGGGGAAAAAAATTGTTCTAAAATAAACTTAGCATTATAGGTAGGGAGGTGTGAGGGCACAAAGGGATTTGAAAAAGAGAGGATCTTGAAATCGATCTGCTTGGTAATTGGGAGCCAGTGGAGCCTGGCAAAGACTGGTCTGACGGAGTTAATGAATTTTGAATTAAATTAATTTTGTGTATGGTGGAGCTGGGGAAACCAGTGAGGAGGACATTGGAAGTGACAAAGGCTTGGACGAGGGTTTTGGTTGCATTGGTTGTGAGGTATGGACAGAGGCGGGCAGTATCTACATATTCAAGTGTAGATCCTGTAGATGACAACATATGAACAGGAGTAGGCCATTCAGCCCTTAGAGTCTGTTCCATCATTTAATTAGATCATGGCTGATCTGTAGCTCAACTAATCCTTTCAAATCCAATTTCCCGCTTTCTCCCCATATCCATTAATACAAATGTAGTAGTCTACTTGTGCACACACGCATTCTTTACTTAATCTTCGCGGACTTATAATAATAATAATAATCCTTGCATTTGATATAGCGCTTTTCACGTCGGGAGGACGTCCCAAAGCGCTTCACAGAATAGACTGTAAAGTGAATTGACTGTATATTTGTGGGCGAACGCGGCAGCCAATTGCGCACAGCAATGTCCCACAAACAGTCGTAGATTGAAAATGACCAATTTATTATTGTTTTATTTTGGAGGGATTATTATTACCCAAACTGTCACATGTATCAATGCTGTTGGGCTCTGTATGAAGCAGAGACTGGATGCTGGTATTTGGGAAGAAAGGAAATCAAATACCCAATGAGCCATGATGAAGGAATAGATGGATGGAAATATCCTTTTTTTGGTCAGCCGGGTGCCCGAAACGTGCCAAAACCCATCACCATTCTTAAGAGTATCCCAACCGAACTGAGAATTCCACGCAGCCCCCCCTACACATGGAAATCCCAGAGATAGATTATCGGAATGAAATGCGCACTCTCTCCCTGGAGGGATGCATCCTGTGAACCTAATTCCAGAAAGTTCTAGGTGCAGGTTGGCAAGACTTGCCCTTGCATGGAACAAATCTTATCTCTCTCACCGTCTCCACTGTGTTGCTTCTAACGGTTTCTCCTCCAGCCCCCGCACTGTCACATTTGGCGTCCCCCAGAGCTCCGTCCTTGGCCCTCTCCTCTTTAATATCTACATGCTCCCACTTGGTGACATCATCCGCAGACATGGGGTCAACCTTCACATGTATGCGGATAACACCCAACTCTATCTTTCTGCCCCCACCCTCAACTCTAGGACCACTGCTGTCCTGACAGACTGCTTGTTGGACATCAAGTCCTGGATGAGGGCAAATTTCCTACAGTTAAATGTGAACAAGAGGCCCTCCTGATTGGCTCGCTCCACGTCCCCCGACCCACCTGCCCCACCTTTGGTGGGAGCCTTTAGCCACCTCTGTAATTCCATCCCCCAATCACTCTGCCTTAGCCTCCTTCAAGTCCCACCTCAAAACCCTCTTCGACCATGCCATCAGTCACCCCCCTTCCCCTCCCCTCCCTTCTCCCTCCCTGACCCCAGTTCGGGTCTGAACTGCTGTACACTGTCCAGTGCCTTGGGACGTCCTCCTGACGTGAAAGGCTCTCTATGAATATAATTTTGTTGTAATGGGATAACTTGATAGAACATAAAGAAAAACAGATACTTTTGGAAGTGCAGAATTAATGATAAATACCCTGATTTCACCATTGTCATCTCCAGTTGCCAGGTATTCATTGTCCTTGGAAAATCTGCAGCTTCTGACACAAGCTTTATGACCAGTCAGAACATAAAGAGGAGCAGTTCTACTGAAGTTCCAAATCTATCCACAAAAACATTGAGCAAATAAAATTAGATAAAGATACATTTGAAAGGGTGTTCCTCATTCAAAGTTAATAACTGCAGTCATCCAACAAACGGAATTGTAATAACATCGCTCCTTTATGAATTTTTTAAAAAGATTATTATCATATCTTTCTTGACTTGCATCTGTGGAGTCCTGTAGCTCAGTGGTTAGAGCATTCGCTTTGCAAGCGAGAGACCTGGGTTCGATTCCTGGCAGGGTGAAACCTTGGGCAAGTTTCCTTACTCCACATGCCTGATAATAATCCTTCCAAAAAAAGCAATAATAAATTGGTCACTTCAATCCACGACTATTTGTGGGACTCTGCTGTGCGCAATTGGCTGACGCATTTCGCCCACAAATATACAGTCAATTCACTTTATAGTCTATTCTGTGAAGCGCTTTGAGACATCTAGAAGATGTGAAAAGCGCTATATCAAATGCAAGGATTATTATATTATTATTATTACTCCTCAGTCATCATTTTCACTCAAGGAAGCAGAATCATGTAATTCTGCCTAACAAGACTGAACCTATATATTTTTGACATACAAATACCAAGCTATCAGAGTAAAGAATGGGAATAGGAGCTTCATAGAGCGAACATTAATTTATTATCCATTTCCATCCTGCCCAATAAGGAGGGAAGTGCATCCTGCACTCAATCAGAGATCAACAACCCAACTGTTAAGACAAAGATTATATTCTCCCCAATCATCCAATTCAACTAATAATGTTTGGAGAGTCTATGAATACTGCATACTGTAACCTTGCATAGGGCGGTATAGTACCAAGGTTATTTTTCTTGGTAGTATCCCAACGTTGCCCTAGTAATGAGTAAGATACTTAAAGCAAAATATAGTTATTTATATACATTTATGCATATAGTTATTATCAGAATGACACATGTATTTAATTTATTTATTGGCATTCTTTGATAACTGGTGTCAATGAAATTAACTGGACTAGAGGCCAATCATAAGTAAACCTTTTCTTTTCAGTCTCTGATACTTTGAAATGTTTTAGGGATGCCACCCTCAGCCTTTTAATTTAAAACAAATTATACAGCCACATCGGTGTGAGCTTCAATTAAGTACTTAACTATGGATTTACCTTGAGCTCAACTACATTCTCTCCTCACCAGAGAGTAAAAATGCAGAAGATAATCTTGTCTATTCAACGTGAAAATGCAGAAGACAAGTCATTGAACAAAACAATACGAGGCCTGACATTCCACCTCTTCTCAATAGTACAACAACCAGGATGAATCATATGCTGCCAACATTTAAAAAATACACTTCTGTCTAAAATAGTTGTTTCTTGTAATAGTGTCACCTAACAGATTTTCAAATAATGCTACAATGGGCCAACATTTCAAAAGAAAAATAACCTGAAGCTTCATTCATTCCCAAGACTATTTGTGGGACACTATTGTGTACAAATGGCTGCCTTGTTTCATTCACAAAAATACATAGTCAATGCGCTTTACAGAACAAAAGAAGATAAGAATTTGCTACATAAAAGAAGATCAAGGCCTCTCGAGTTCGCCTTCCACCATCCTTGACATGTTGTGTCCCAAATTATATCTGTATCCTGAGATATTATTTTCTAGCAGAAATCTATCGAATTTGGTACATGAAACAGACAGAAAACATGGATGCCCATCCTCAGGATTTTTAAAAAATTACCATCAACTACAACAACTCGCATTTATATAGCACTCTTCACACAGGGTAGCATCCCACAGCGCTTACCAAACAATGAAAAGAAAGCTTATTTACAAAGAAATTTAACATTTTCAGGCAATTTTAAAGATATTAAAGGCATTTCAATAAAAAAGTGAACTTGTATTCCCTTTCATCCATCCCATATTTCCTTCTATCACTCCTTTGATGAAAGGGATACAGAAAATAATACAAGTTCACTTTTTATTGGACTATCCATTCTTGGAGTACACGTGCCGGTTATTCTTACTTTCTATATGCAACACCTTGTATTTATTGTATTGAACTTTACCAGCCCATATGCAAACCCATCATTCTATAGATCCCCCAAGTTATCTGTGTTATCTGCAAATTTAACTACCTTACACTGTGTCTCCAAATCTAGGTCATTGATGCATATAGTTATTATCAGAATGACACATGCATTTAATTTATTTATTGACATTCTTTGATAACTTGATTAGTCCCAGTGACCCCGTTTAATACTTCCCCTCATTTTGTCACAGCTCCCCTAACACTATTCTCTACTTCCTTTCCTTCAGCCATTTTCAAATCCATAACATGTAGGAGGAGTAGACCATTCGGCCCTTCGAGCCTGCCCCGCCATTCAATCATGGCTGATCTTCTAATCTAACTCCAGCTAATAACATAACCATGCCTTATCCCCATATCCCTTAATCCACGTCCATTTCTTCTCCTCTGTTCCCAGTGACAATTTCTGAAGCAGTCTTTCCTGTGGTACTTTGTCAAATGCCTTTTGGAAGTCTAGGTACACTATGTTACATATGGCTTCCCACATTCAACTTGGGATGTCATCTTCTCAAAAAGCCTGTGAAGTTAGTCAGACAAAACTTACTCCCTTCTGAATCTGTACTAGCTGTCATTTATTAGGTCATAGCCCATTTTCTTATTGATAATGTTTCCAATTACTGAGATCAGGCTAATGGTTTTGTAGCTAACAGGCATACTTCTGTCATTCTTGAACTTGCATCTCCTTGCTTCCACTCTGTTGGAACCTCATTAGAAGTGACCTACGTCCCTCAAATAATGTCTGTCAGTGCTACAAAAATATCCTGCCTGGTCTTTTCAGATACCTTGGGATACAGTTCACCCACGCAGAGGGATTTGTTGGTTTTCAGCCTCTTGAGGCTATCCAGAACCTAAGCCTCACATATATCAGTGTCTTTGATCTCAAACAATATTGTTCGATGTTGGGAAGGGTATGATTTTAGAGTTCTTTTTGGTAAAAAAAAACTCCAGGAAGTAGTTGGTTAATAATAAACTTTACAGGCCACAGGGAAATTTAAACATGCCTATTTGGACTGAATATAAAACATATTCCACAGCTTTTCAATTTTTTAAAGGGTTCTTCATCTGTTACCATCGGTGGTCGGGCCTTCAGCCTCTCAGCCCCCAGGCTCTGGAACTCCATCCCCCAGTGCCTTCGCCTTGCTTCCTCCCTTTCCTCCTTCAAGGCCGGTCTCAAAACCTTTCTCTTTGACCGAGCCTTCAGCTCCCCTCTCGACTCTCTTCCCCCTCCTCGCTCCCTCCCTTCTCTCCCCTCACCCTGACCATTTCCCCCCTCCTTGCTCCCTCCCTTCCCTCCCCTCACCATTTCCCCCCTGCTCGGGTCATGACCCAACTGTGCAGCGCCTTGGGACGTCCTCCTGACGTGAAAGGCGCTTTATAAATGGAATCTTGTTGTTGTTGTTGTTGTTCCAATGAAAGTTATGCTGCATATTGTGAAGTTCAATAATTTAGTTAGAGCAATAATACAGTAACTACATTCTTGTACAGGCATATTATTTATTTTTAAATCCCTTTAAAAAATTCTTACAATCGAAATTCTCATCATTTTCACAAATGTTTTATCATGTAAATATCATAAAATTATTGTAGACTAACATTTTGCACTATGAGACTTTAAAAAAAATCAGTGCAAAATTAAAGTGCCTTTTATTAGAGTTCAATCGTTGATGGCTTGATTTATCCCTCACCCATTTAAAAGCTCCCAGTTCACTACTCATCAGCCCTCCTGCTAGTTAAGAAAGTAGTGGAAAATGCTTCAATCAGGAAGCAAGTTCAAAGTATTCTCCTTCAACATCAGAACCAAAGGATTTAAATTGTCAGCAGGATATCTGCTCCAATCAAATAACACTCAACAGCTTCACTACACATGCTAAAAAAGGAATGCAACGTCTAATTGCTGATAGAGATCACTAACTTTTATTAACAAATAAATCATAAGTGACTTTTACTTCAAAGTATGGTAGTTTAAAAGTATTTTGAGAGACTGCATTGCTTACTCTATGCCTTTGATATACAACAACAAATTGAATTTGGTATAGTGCCTTTCACATCACGAAGATGTCCCAAGGCGCTGGATAGTCAGGGATTTAACCCAAGCAGGGGGTTGGAATCACTGAGGGTGGGGTTAGGAGGGTGACTGAAGGCGCGTATGAAGAGGAGAATCTTGAGACAAGCCTTGAAGGAAGCAAGGGAGGGATCAAGGAGAGAATAAGGACTGTGGGTGGGGCAGGGAGGCTAAAGACCCGACTGCTGTTGGTGGGGTAGGGGACGAGGAGCAGGCTGGAACCGCTGAGCGGAGGGAGTGGTCAGGTTGATATGGCATTAGCAGGTCACAGAGGCAGGGAGGAGCAAGGCCGTGGAGGGCTTTGAAGGCAAGGATGAGGATATTGAACTCTATCCTTTGGGGGATAGGGAGCCAGTGGAGGCAGGCAAAGATGGCGTGATAGGGTCACGGAGCCTGGTGCAGGAGAGGACACAAGCTGCAGAGTTCTAAATGATCTGCAACTTATGGATAGAAGAGTTGGGAAGGCCGACAAGCATGAAGTTAACGCATTTGAGCCTAGATATAATAATAATCTTTGCATTTGATATAGTGCCTTATCAGGTCTTTGAGATGTCTCGAAGCGGTTCACAGAATACACTGTAAAGTGAATTGACTATATTTTGTGGGCGAAACGCGGCAGTCAATTACGCACAGCAATGTCCAACAAATAGCCGTGGATTGAGTAATCAAATTATTTTTATTTAAATGAGAAGGAATTATTACCCTGGAAAGCAATCCACCAATTGACGAGGGAAGGGTTCCTACTTACTGCTAGGTAAATAGAGGCATGTGGAGTAAGGAAACGTGTCCAACATTTTGGCCTGTTGGGAATCGAACCCAGATCTTCTTGCTTGCGAGCAAGTGCTCTAACTACTAAGCTACAGCACTCCATGTTACGAAGATGTGGATGAGGGTCTCGGTAGCCTGAGGGGAGAGGCTGTGATGTGATTTGTGGAGTTGTGGGAAGGCAGAACGAGTCATGTGGGGTAGAACCTACCTCTGAATCATCAATCCCTGACCTTACACAGATTTCATTATTTCTGCAGTGTTCATTACAACATGTGCAAGCAAATTTAGAGTATAAAATCCCCACCAACCTTGGCATATTTATCAGCAGAAGCAGAAGCAAGCTTGCTGCCATCAGGGGAAACATCACATGATAAAATTGCTCCATTATGACAACCATAGCTCTTCAGCATTACACCAGAGATGAAATTCCATACCTAAAGTAATAAAATAAATTGAAGATTTCAGTTTGTTTTAAAAAAAATATTTGCTTATAAAAAACGTGATTTGTCCCATTTTGACCAGGTTTGAAAAATTGTATATTTTTTTCCATTTAACAGTGGGTGCTTTTTTTTGGGTTAAAACTTAGTTCAGTTAAAGCTTTACTTCAGTTAAACTCATTGAATTCTATTCTATCTGGTTTTATTTTTGAGTTGAAGGAAAAACTGGAAGTCTACTGCAGGTTAATCAGACTGAAGGAGAAAGATGGGTTTAATCATTAAGGTTCTTTTAAAATTAATTATTTTTAAAAAAATGTATTATTCATTGACCTTTCATTGGGACACAATATGTGCTGTTCCTTCAATGTTAGAATTTTCAGGTAAAATTATATTTAAAAGTGTCAATGTGAATTGGTCTCTCAACCATCACTCTCCAAGTTTCTGAAGAAACATGATATTTTCTCACTTGTCTTGCCATTTGTCAGAGTAGAAAATAAAGTTTTAATTATTGAATTTATTGTTTGAAAATAAAAGCTTTAGAAGTTTACACGTGTCCCTTACAGTCTTTGATCATATTATACAGGTTCTGAATAACAGGCTTATCCATAATATCACAACAGTGGCAAAATAGAACCTCTTACAATCATGCATTATTCAATACTCCTATTTACATATTAATGGTTAAACATGAAAGCCCAGCAATAAAAATATGAAATCCTTGGTGCTATTTCAAGTTGGACTAGCCTACTTGTAGATAGCAGAGAATTGTAGGCCTTCATCGCATTATTTTGAATATTTTTATACAAATGTGTAAGCTTTAATTTACTTTTTTTTAAGAGGGCAGTAGGTCATACATGCAATTCCCCAGCTTTAACCTTTTTACTGGCCTTTGCCATTGGGACCACTAATGGAAAGTATGAGAGAACAGCTAGGGTTACATACTTCAATGGTATCTTCACTTAGTATCTACCCCAACTGCATAGTGGAGATGGAAAGCTTATGTGGAGAATTTGTTTTCTAAATTTGTTTTTGGTGAATTGCATTCATTGAAGAGGGAACGAAAACACGTCTTGTTTGACACCGATCATCAAATAAGATCTAGTAAAAGTTACAGAATATTATTCTGCTGCTTTGCAATGACCTGTCTTAAGATGAACCTGTGAAGACCACTTCTACTACATAGGTATTACACTTTTTTCCCTCCCAATACTAATCATTCTTATGTTCTCTCTGAGTGGGATGATCAACTAATGCAAAATAAAATGCAATTTGTGTGCTATGGATTCAGATCCACATGTAACTGGATCACAATTGCCCACATTCTTTCAAGTAGGATCCTTAAATGAGGTAGAGTGGAGACATTCATCTAACGATTTTTTGTTAAACTCAAATCCAGCTACCAGAAGAAACGGGCAGTGTTGTAACCCATTTTCTGCCATTTTGTCAGAGCACTAGTATTGGGCGCACGAGGGAAGCAAGAGACCAAAAATTGTTCATCACTCCTTTGGTTTGATGCTCATCTTCAGAGCCCAGTACATAATTACTGGATATACACAAATGTAAAGTGTGTGCACTCCATAGATGTCAATCAGGACAACATTCATCCAGCACATCTGCCAGCTAAGCATTCAGTTTTGTACATACAGCAATCAGGAGTTAAACTTATTGCAGAACATCGCAAAAACTCAGACTACACAACCTAAAACTAAAATCGCAGCTTCCAATTGAAGCGTTATTTCAGAATAACAGCATCAATCGAGATCCCATCTCGGGACCTGTGATGCCCTTTACTGGACACCAGCAGAATAAATCCACTTCACCACTGCTTCAATCAAATGTACATCTTCTGGACTGTGGATTTTTCCTTGCAAGTCGCATATCAAATCAAACACTGACAGGGGTTGGAGTAACATGAAGGTTAGCACCCTATCCTTCACTTCTGGCATCTGGGTTGAAGCGCAGCCTGGAGTGACAGGTTAGAATTCTGCTCTGTCTACTGCCTTGAATGATTATATCAGAAATGAGTTTCAGCTATCCCACAAATTCCCAACGGCTGTGGATCTACAGTACACAACTGCATAGACCCTGGCAATCTACTCTGACAGGTCATAAGGATAGCTGGTGTCAGAGAATTATTTACACATGTAGAATAAGGATGCTTTCTGAGATTTTGCTTGAAGGAGATCATTGGGACAGAATACTCTGTGAAGACTCTGGACATGCAAAACAAAAATTTTATGTTGACAATAGATAAAAAAAAAGTTCCATTTCCTATCAGTTATATCTCTCAGTTTCGTGAACACAAGCAAATAAAACAAATTAAGCAATAGACACATAAGGTATGGTGAACATATATTTAAAATTACTTCTCTCCCCAAATGACTGATTCTTTGTACATGCAAACAAAAACGTAACATCCAAATGTAATAGATTTGGAAGCTACACACCAATCAAGAAATATGAACCACAAACCTTTCAGTATGAAATTCTTACCTTCATGGTCCCATCAAAAGACCAGGACAGAAGTTGTGAATCATCCAACACCTTAAAGTTTTTCACCTGTTCAATGTGTCCTTTAAGCACTTTGTATTCTCCAGCTCGCCAATTCCACACCTAAATGTGAAGTATAATCCCAGTTCTTTAATATAATCCCATCTATATGTAAACAACAATGAAGACAGCAACTAGTGCGGATAACTTTGCACTAACAAGTCTTAAAGGAGACAGGATTGAAATCTGGGAAATCTGTGTCAATTTGCTAGATTCAGGAGAAATTCCTGAGGATTGAAAATGGGGGAAGCATAACCGTGTTATTAAAAAAATGATTGGAAACCACAGACTGCTAAATTTGCCATCGGTTGTAACAAAAACCATATAAAACAATTTTAATGACCTAGTGGGTAAACAGTAAACACATTTGGAAAAGCTCAATTTATTGAAGAACAGAAGGATTGGGTCAGGAATGGGAGATCATTTACCTACTTAAGTAATGTACTAATTGCTAGAATAGTGTGCATTTAATGTACACTTAGATATTCATAAATGTTGCAACAAGGTTATGTATTAGTAATTGATGATTACAATAGGTGGCGGGGGTGGGGGGGGGTTAAAATGTAGAGCTGGATAAAGAAAGCAAATTGTTTAAAAAAATCGAGAAGTAATCACAAATTAAATTATTTCCAGCAGTAGGACATCACCAATGACAATGGGGTGCCTCTTTTTGAAACTCTGCTTTAAAGTATTGTTTATTGATCATCTGAACAAGAGCATCCATAGCCTCCAAATTTAGATGATTAAGATAGAAGGAAGAACAAATGATGAAGAACAATGCAAGCAGACCCAGACATGGCAATATACATGCAGGTGATCAAGAAGAGCAGATGCTTCAACTGTGGCATTTTGTACTGAATATCCAATGTGTCCTCGTGTGGTAGGAGTGAAGGGTTGTATTTTAAATCGTCACCATTGATTTAATGAGTTGAACAGAAAGATAGAAAAGGAACAGCAAAGGAACAGCTTTTTTTAAAAAAAAGAGGTTGGTGAATGAAACAACGAAAGCTGGAAATAAAACTAGAAAGCAGGTGATTTACTTGAAGGTTCTAGTCTTGGGTCATATCAGAGCAACAGAATTATCATCAAATAATCATCTTTGCAGATCACTATACAGAATGCCCATTTTTAAAAGAATGCAGCTAAAGCATGAGTATATAGTTTCAGTGGCTACTGTAAAGATTCTAAAACAAAATATTTTGATATTAAAAGTGTTGTTACCTATGTTGGAAGATTTTGTACTAACATTAATTATTGATGTGTGAATTTCTTGACCTGAATTTCTGAAGTGAATGCAATCACATTTTATATTGTTCACTTAGGACCTGATTTTGTTCTGAACTTCAGATACCATTTTTTTGAATCAGCTTCGGGGTAACCCAGACTTGTGCTGGCTGACAGTAGTGTTTATTTACTAGTGTTTCCAATGCCTTGGGCGGTATACAAATGTAATTTTGTTGTTACTATTTGGACAATGAGAGTGGCCTTTCCAAATAATTTTTTTCTTCCCTTTACCTCCCCAGCCAACAACACACTCACTTAAATCACTAATGCAATCTTGGGTGGAACATCTTACTACATCCGCACTCTGGGTTTCACGTACAAGTGTACATGACAGCAAAAATTTTAAAAAGTAGATTTTCAGCCATGTAGATAAAGCAGCTATACTCTTATCTGATGTCCACATGACTGGCGACTGAGTATGAATGTAGCTCTGGGCCAATAACGAAGCAAAGTCATTGATTTATTTTAAAAAGAGAGAAAAAGTAAAATAAAGTGCAACATCATTCTGAGCAATCTGTTTGAATGGTGTTCTAGTGTATATAACCTTGAAGGATGAAAGGATTAAACTCCTTTATTTAACTGAAGCTTCAACCTGTCCTATCACTAACTCTAAATGTTTTAGCTCCTTTTGAACAGCATCCAGTCCGGAATCGCTCTCAGCCCTAGTCCATGTATACAACAAGACAGAATAGATATTGTGTAAACACTGTACTGTAAAATGTTGAAGCTTTTTTTTTTTACTCTGCATATAATTTGACAATTTTAGGATGATTACTTTGGAAGGTAAGTGCAGGTTAAAATCTGGGACCGTTGATAGTGAATCATATGGTTTAAATTCAGACATAATCAGTTTCTTAGGTTTCGCCCACAAAAATATAGTCAATTCACTTTGCAGTAAATTCTGTGAAGTGCTTATTATGTACCTCATTTTAGGAATCTAAATCAAACACAGGACATGGCTGCAGGGAGGGAGGGCTCCGGCCTATGTTGTCCTGTCATGTTATCCTGGAGGTGGAGAAGGCTTCACTTTGGGCACATCTATTTACTAAGGCCCCTCACATGAGGACCTGGATTAAGCAGCTGGTGCTGAGTAAACCTGGTATTGGACTTGGACCTTGAGAACATCAAAGTGGCTGGCAAGTCACAAGCTGTACTGTAAAGGCCCTCCCACAAAACTCAAGGCAGACGTACACCAGATAGCTGATGAGGAAACTCTGAGGCTTGCGGGTGACCACTGCTGGAAGAAGTCTTGAGTTTGTGAACACACGTTCGTACGTCCAGCTCCTGGAATCCACCTTGATTGGCCTGCAGAGAGGCAAGCAGCTGCTGCTTAAACTCCGCACCTCCAATGGAAAGGGATGTGTGCCCAAGCTGCAGAAGATGGTGGCAATGCTCTCACACATTTCATGCTGAGATGTGTTGCCCATTGGGAAGCAAGCAAGGAGTTCCTAGTACCCACCATCCATCGAAGGAGGGCTCAAAGCCCACGCTTGTCGGATATCAAATGAAGAACTAGTGACTGTTCTCCTTGGGGGGGAAGGTAAGCGGGGTCACCTTGGAGCTAAAATGGCTCCAAGGTGACATGAATGACAATGGAACCAAGACAGCCCTCTGTGGCGGTCTCCGTAGTCTGGATCCTGAGCCAGCTGGGGTCTATAGTATTCTGGGAGCACTGCTAATGACAGCAGTGCTGGCGGTTGGTTAAGTAGGACTTGAACCATGCAGCTGCGGTCCCACTAAGGTGGATGAGGGAGGAGAGGCAGTGGAGGAGGATGGCGTGATTGACTGTGTTGAATGCAGTGGAGAGGTGAGGAGGATGAGGAAGCAGAGGGAGCCCCGGCTACGGAGAGAGAGGACGTCATTTGTTACTTTGACAAGCGCTGTCTCTGTGCTGTGGGCAGGGTAGAAACCGATACCAGTTAGCGTTGTTCATCAAATGTGTGTGCTGTGTGTACGTGTATTAGCAAGAATTATGCTGCTTATGCTATAAAGTTGCAGTAAAATTTATTATTCCTTACCATCTTCAATGCAATGTGAAAGATCTTAGTATTTCTTATTCAATTATATAAACCCTAAAGTACAAAATTAATCAATCCAAAACATTCTAACGATCAGATTGAACATTTTGCACCTAGTTACTGGGCATGAGTAAAAGCAATAATTTTTTCTAATCAATAAAGGAACGTTATTTGGTCAAAAGCGCCATGTCCACCTGCAGAAGAAGCTTCAACCTCCCCTCCACCCGTTCTTACCAATAAAGTGGTATCATCAGAGCTGGAAATCAGGGTTTCTCCATCAGATGTAAACTGGCATCGTTGGACACATTTTGTGTGCTTGTTTAACATGTGCAGAACTCTACCACTGTGCCGATCCAGAACCTGGGAGAAAAAGAAAACCAGCAATGCTTCAAATTGTTATATCAAATCTGAGTGTTCCAAAAGGAATTCATCACAAAAAACTGTAGTGAACATTAATGGCAAATAAGAATAAATATTTAATGATAGTTCAGTACACATAAGCCATGCAAAAGTAACTCAAATATCAGTTCAATGGAACTTTTGGGGAGAAATTCCACCTGGGTCTAGATTCATTCCAGTTAATGTAGTTAATGGAGAGCATCCAGAATTTGGCAATTTAATCAATTTAGCCTCAACTTTTAAATCTGTTTCTGTTGATCTTAAACAAACTTTAAGAAAACCAGCTTTCACAAATGAAGCTGTATTAAAGAATATGCTACAGAACTAGAGTAAATCTAGACCTCTGTGGAATGTCTCCCGAGAGTTGTGTTTTTGCTTTATGCTGTGAAAAATACTCAGTGTTGCTGAGAACACCATCATTTTCTACAGTATTCTAAATCTCTAATTGTTCTGCTCAGTGGTCAGAGTTTTCATCAAACAAAGGGGTACAGAAGCAGAGAAAGGGATACAGGAGCAGAGAGACCTGGGGGTTCATATACACAGGTCTTTGAAGGTGGCAGGACACGTTGATAGAGCTGTTAAAGAAGCATATGGGATCCTTAGCTTTATAAATAGAGACATAGAGTACAAAAGCAACAAATTTCTGCTGAATCTTTATAAGTCATTGGTTAGGCCTCGGCTGGAGTATTGTGTCCAATTCTGGGCACCACACTTTAGGAAGGATATCAAGGCCTTGGAGAGGGTGCAGAGGAGATTTACCAGAATGATATCAGGGATGAGGAACTTTAGTTATGTGGTGAGACTAGAGAAGCTAGGATTGTTCTCCTTAGAGCAGAGAAGGTTAAGGGGAGATTTAATGGATATATTCAAAATTATGAGGGGTTTTGAGTAGAGAGGGGGAAACTGTGTCCACTGGCCGTTGAGTCAGTAATCAGGGCACATAGATTTAAGATAATTGGCAAAAGAACCAGAAGGGAGATGAGGAGAAATTTTTTTTACACATAGAGTTGTTACGGTCTGTAGTGCACTGCCTTTAAAGGTGATGGAAACAGACCCAATAATAACTTTCAAAAGGGAATTAGATAGGTACTTGAAAAGGAAAAATTTGCAGGAGTATGGGGAAAGAGTGGGGGAGTGAGAATGATCAGGTAGCTCTTCCAAAGATCTGGCACGGGCACGATAGGCCGAACAGCCTCGTTTTGTGCTGTTATATTCTATGATTCTAACGTGTTCCACAGTTTCCCATACAAATTACTCAACCCATCTAACTACAATCAGCACAAACAAGCATGGATCTCAAACAGCAGAATGTACAAGTGTTTATAATTAATGTCATATTGCTCTTCTTTCAAAAATGGTGATTGAGAAGTGCATTCACACACTAAAGTTAAGACATAATTAAAAACTTGCTCACTGATGCAGAATGTCCTGAATAAGCATTGAGACTTGATGATTTTAATGTTTAATTATTTTGTTAAATTTCATATGAATAAAAATTAAATTCTATTGGACATATTTATTAACAAAACGAAGTTACCTGCCAAATGTCATTAGTGCACAGGTATAATTGAAGAGAAGGAAAAAATAAATATTTAGCAATAGTTATATTGTACAGAAATATTCAGAAATAGTTATATTATACTGAGTTCACAGGCAAAGGTGTCTATTTCTATTTAGTCGTTTATTTAGCAACATTTTCATTATTTTTGCAAATATTGGAATTATTTTCAAGAGCTGGTATTTGGACAGAAGTTTAAAAACCTTATCAGTTAATGAAATAGCACTTTATCCAAAATAAAAACAGTTGTAAATGATTCTGCAATCCATTTTGTTGGAAGACAAACATGTATGTTTGTTTAAGTCATGTTTGTATAACCCAAACTTTTACTTCAAATAAGTGGGTCACAAAAATAAAATAATTTCATCAGTGTCAAGAAAATAATTAAACATTAATCTATGTAATTTTACAGCTAATTATACTGAATTCACAGATAAAAGTGTCTATTTCTGAAAGGTCAACATTTGCATAATTAGTTAAAAATTTATTCTTCAGCATCTTATCAATACTAACACCATCTAAATGTCACTTTTGCTCATATGAGAATCCATTATTCCATTTATCCTTGAGGACATCTTTTATGGATGATCACGTGTGCTTACAACTGCAAACCAGGAAAGAACAAACTGCACATATGGGATCCTTCCACATCCTTAATCTTTGGTAATTATATTAATACAATAAAGGACTAAAAAATGCACACAATTTATCTAATTAGAGAGATTTAACAGGAAGACACAAACTGTATCAAATATAAATTCTGCACAGTTTTGTCTTCAAAATAGATTACATTAATTTGAAAATAATTACTGATCTGGTGTTCTATCAACACAAATGTAAAAAGATAAAATACAGAAACCGTGAAATAATGGCAAATGTGCAAGTGTACTTTGGATCCTTTAAATCCACCAAAATCTGCTTAAGATCCTAGAAAAGATACACACATCCAATTTATCCAATTAGAGCAATTTCCTATTATATTTTATAAAAGTCAGTTTTCCTTAAATATCAATATTATTGCACCCATAAAACTCTACAGAAGCAGTTTCATTTTAATACAATAACTTTGAAACATTTAGTAACCCAATTCACTGAGATGTCTTTCTCAGCAACACTCAAAAACTAGGTCAGTGGAGTTAGTTTTATCAGCCAGAGGGTTAGTTTAGTTGGTGTAGGCTGCTTAAATATTCTTGCACCTTTACTGTGCCATTCTCAAGCCCTATTGCTACCAATGGGCTCTGCTGGGACGGCTGTGTCTTCCAACCAAAGCTCTGCAGGATTAACTTGGCCGACTTCACACCTGCCTACAACAGCAACATATAAAACAATGAAACCATTAACAAAATTAGACATCAATGCACACACATTAAATTCTATTTATTCTAGCTGAAAATGGAAGAAACTTATCTATTTCATGAATTATATTAATTGATAGGTGATTTTCTTTCTCGAGATGTGGGTAATTTTTAGTCTAACTCAATATGGACTTTCTTATTATTATTATAGACTGTACTTGGATTAGTTTATACCACAATTCACAAATTCTGAGAAAGAATGTACTCAGTGGGACTATCCCTTCCAAGAAAAAAATAAGAAAAAATTGGTCACTCAATCTATGACTATTTGTGGGATTCACATGTTTCGCCCACAAAATAAACAGTCAATTCACTTTATAGTATATTCTGTGAAGCGTTTTGAGACATCTTGAAGATGCGATGAGGCTCTATATCAAATGCAAGGACTTTTATTATTATTACTATTATTATTATTATACATTTCTCCCTGGTTTGGGATCTTTTTCAGCTCTTTTGTTTTCCAGATGTGGCTATGTTTTCTCGGCACTGCCACATGCCTCCCTGAATTCTCCAGTGATATTCAAAGCTCAAGTTGAATCCCAAGAGAATTATTTTCCCATTACAATTTTGATTTTCATGCGTGAAATGTTTAGTTTACCTTTTAACAGTGAAGGTAAAAACAAAGTGATACAATGGGGAATACTACAAAAACAGCACCATCTTAGGGGGTTGGTCAAGTTTCAGTACAATCTCAATTTCCAGATACTATAGCAATCACTGTGTGACTCGTTACACACTGTACATACACTTAAATAGGCTTAAACGTTAAAAAACCCTCTTCATTGGGTTAAGCAGACACTGCTATTTAGATATGGAATTAACTTGTAGAGTTGTAATGGGATGAAACTTCCACAACTAGATATAACTCACAAGTGAGAAAAGGCCACGTGCAAGTTCTGATCAGCCTCATGAATGGAAATAAATATTAATATCAAGGTCTTTGATTTATGTGTGGTTTATATTTCTCTAATCCACTGATGTTTAAATTATTAATAGATGATACAGTATATGGAATTCTTTGGCACAAGTTGCGACTGAATCTGAGACTATAACGAAAAAAGAAATGGATAAATATTTGAAGAATATAAAATGGCACGGGGAAAGAGCAGGGTTGCCAAAATGCTTGCACCAAAAGTGTGGCAATGCTTTTCTTGTGCTCGCTCATGTCACCTTTGTCCCTCCACAGGTTGGGGAGATACCGTTCTGTGAATACATAGAAATGTAGGACATCATTTCATTGATGACCTTTGTGGCCTGGCGCATGAACAAACTGTTAGAATTTCCATGCCTTCATCGGTTACAAACACCAGGAAATGTGCCTGGAATATCGGGCGATTTGGCTCACTGCTTTTTTTAACCAGTTCTACTACTCAGAACCAATGATCGGGAAAATAAACTACATTTTTTTGCTTCACTTAAGCAATGAAGTCATATATTTCCACGCACACGCAAATAGTACTGTGTTACCCCTCACTCTGGGACCACAACTTTTCCTTCTGGAGATTTTAGACAATTCACAATGAAAGCTGTCGCTGATCTGTCTGCTGAAGGGTTTGGGTAAGTTGAGGAAATCCATATCCCAACCAGTCTTTAAGAATAGTTGGAAAACGCTGTATTCATAACAGATTTGGCAATGCGTTCAATCATTACCATATTGATTTCAAATCTATTACGAAACATTGTAATTTTAATAAATAAAGATTGAATTACTTTTGTGCTGTTAACAGTGCTATGCAAAGAGAAATGTGTCTCTCAGGCAATTCAGTTGAAATCTAACTGAATTGTGAAGGCTATTGTTTTTGCTTGAGTCCCTCAACCAATTTAAAGGCACCAATTTAATTGTGAATTTTAAAAGCAATTCCTCTGAAAGCTGCCCCATAAATAAACCGATATTTGGGCCAAAAGGGGTCACAGAAAGCAACTAGTCTTAATATGTATGACTTTTAGATTCTGGTGTTGTCTCTGACAAATGACTTAAAATTAGTTATATACAATACAAAATTACATTTGTATAGTGCCTTTCACACTGGGAGTGTCCCACTGGGACAATCACACAACACACCAGGGGTTTAGAAGATTTAATGCTGCTAAAGAATCGGATTCAATACTTGGAAGTATTCAATTGGTCAGAGCTACATTTTCCTCAAGTCTAATAGTTGTACTGAATTGAAATGAAAAAATCTATTTATCTGGAGACTTACTTTAAAGTAAAAGTAGAATTTGAAGTTTTTCTACCTACCTTATAATGGTGGAAATTCATGTAGGAATACGTTATAAACACAGTTGTGCCTTTTAAAAAAAAACTCCAAAAAGGTATATTTTAAAATTCTTTTTACAGTATATGGAAAAAAACATTTCCTCAGGCCAAAACTGGACGCAATGTTTTGAGAGTAAGGCAACTGCAGCCAGATAGTGGGAGTAGTCACCTGTTTGCAGCAAGTAAATTGTTCTACTGTATTGTAGAGTTTCTACCAAAAGTTTGTCATATTAAAATATCTTTAAATATCTCTATATAAAATAAAAGTTTGTGATATTAACATATCTTTATATAAAATATAAAAATCTAATGACACTGTAGTATCAGTGGTACCCCAAATACCACTCTTTTCCTATCTGATAACCTGCCCTCCCACAGGCCTGCTTCACACTGTCATCTCCAATCCAGCTTTCTTTTTAAATTGGTGCCTTTAAATTGGTTGAGGGACTCGAGCAAAAAAAAAAAGACAACTGTACTTCTGACCCCTTGAATAATTTGGTCATTCAATCCACGAATGTTTGTGGGACACTGGTCTGCGCAATTAGCTGCCGCATTTCACCCACAAAATATAATCAATTCACTACATTGTATAATATAATAATCCTTTGCATTTTCACATCTTCTCGACGTCTCAAAGCGCTTCACAGAATATGCTGTAAGGTGAATTGACCGTATATTTGTGGGCGAAACGCAGCAGCCAATTGCGCACAGCAATGTCCCACAAACAGTCGTGGATTGAAAATGACCAATTTATTACTGTTTTTTGTTTTGGAGGGATTGATTATTAGGCATGTAGAGTAAGGAAACTTGCCCAAGGTTTGCCCCTGTCTGGAATTGAACCGAGGTATCTCGCTTGCAAGGCAAGTGCTCTAACTACTGAGCTACAGGACTCCACAGAGAGAAAGAGAGAAGAACATGGCGGCTGCAGGTCGGTCTCTCTCTGTATATACTGTGAAGCGCTTTGAAACGTCTCGAAGACCCTATATCAAATGCAAGGATTATTATTGTCTTGTAGTATTTTTTAGTATTTCTTGTAGTATTTCAAATCCAGTTTGTTTAAAAACTGGATCCACCACTCCCTTCATGAACCCCTCCAATCGGGTTTTCATTGCTTGTCGGCTTCCCCAACTCCTCCCTCTACAGGCTGCAGACCATCCATAACTCTGCAGTCCATGTCCTCTCCTGCACCAGGCTCAGTGACCCTATCATCCCCATCCTCGCCCGACTGCACTGGCTTCCCATCACACAGTTGAATATCCTGGTCTTCACCTTCAAAGCTCTCCATGGCCTCGCTCCCCCCTATATCTGCAACCTCCTAACACCCTACCAACCTGCCCGCTCCCTCCGCTCAGCAGGTTCTGACCTACTTCATGTCCCCCGCCTCGTCCACCCCACCACTGGCGGGTGTGCCTTCTGCCACTCTGCCCCCACCCTCTGGAACTTGATCTCGCAGTCTCTCCGCCTCGCCCCCTCCCTTGCGTTCTTCAAGACCCATCTCAATACCCTCCTCTTCAACCGTGCTTTCGATCACCCTACTTCCCCCCCTGCCCTCCACCCTCCCCAATCCCGATCCCGAACTCGGATCCGAAACACTGACTGTCCAGTGCCTTAGGGCATCCTCCCGCTGTGAAAGGCCATTACAAATGTAATTTTGTTGTTGTTGTTTAAACTGCTTTGTGTATTCTAGTAAAGTCGATATTTTAAGCGTTTGAAAATAAAACCAGCAGTTTATGCGTTTCTCAAAACAATCTAGCTTCAGTAAAAGTGGAGATTTCATGTGGTGTCAATACCCCTGAAGCATCTTTCACTCCAAAAGGATGTCTTAAAGCTCTTCACATAGCTTTGCACAATATGAAATTTGATAGCTACCATCATCAATTGACTGTGCTAACAGAATGAATACCAGTGATAAGGTGAGGGACACAATAACTTTGTAATTCTACAACTTCCGTGTAAACTCCTAATGCAACACTCAGTGAAGAACAGAAATCATTCCATAAACTGCAATTTTATTCAAGGCACAAAGGAAACCATGAGAACTTCTGATTCTTGAAATAAGATGTAAGAAACACATTTTAATTTTGCAATAGGAGTTTATGCATATTTTCATAGAACACATCTTTAAGGTCTTAAAAGAATATTCTTCCATGCACATGTCCCATTAACGGAGGACAGCTGAATATAGACAGAATCTGCACAGAACTTGAATATCCTTCCTACTAGGCGGATCACCTCTAACTAGCAGGTTGGACGCGAACAAAAACAAAATCAAATCATAATGGACCTTCCAGCCATCCACATATATAGCTTGGTGGAGAGATAATTATGAAAGCTATTCCACTTAGTTTACAGTGCACTTGCCACAAATGAGAAAGATGCTTACAAAATGACACTGTCATTGTAATGACACTGTAAAGCACGGAGGACAATATTGTGTCTAAATTATGATAAATTTTGCTTCAGACATCTGAGGTACAAGTGTATTGAGAAGGAAAACTGGATTTGACATGAAGAACTTGAACCATGATAACTACTCGCACTGCAATCCCAAAACTGACAATGAAAGCTGGAGAAAGCAAATTACAAGGTGAAACAGTGCAAGTGAAAAGGCAAACTATACATAAAAAAACCTGCGCATGCTGATTTATCCTCTACATATATCCTTGCCAGAAAGAAAGTCGTCATCTTTTAAGGAATATTCATATAAATATTCATAGGCTGTCTATTTTGTTCAAAAACTGAATTTGCAATGCTATTTAGATACAAAAAGTCAACAGTTACGTAAACAATTTTCAGGTACTTGAATATAGGCATGTTCATCTGATTCCAGATAAAGGAACATCAACAAAAAGAACACAGTGGAAGGATTATTAGGATTGATACTGGGAATCAGTGAAGGTAATATTGCCTTGGTGAACCTCAACATGTGCTTATTTCTTTAACAAAGCTTTAACTAAATAAAGTAGTATGAAGCAGATTTATACCAGGGACATTGGGGTCAATTCAAATTGATACAACAAATATTTTTTGGGGGTAAGTTAGATGTCTGACACATGTGGTATCCCATTACCATACCAGAGTATTCAAACCAAGCTGAGAATTCTATGCATCCCACCTACTCATGGAAATCTCAGAGAGAGATTATTGGATTGGAATTGAACTCTCTCCTTTCAGGGATGCATCCTGCTTACCTAATTCTGGAAAGAATTAGGTACAGGTTGGCAGGAGGCAAGGCTTGGGGACCCCAGAATGTGCGTTGGGGTACCAGCAAATCATAAATGAAGTAGTAACACCCTACTGAACAGTTGCTTGATGACATTTAGCATTAACCTTTAATTTACGTGAACCTCCTTGGCCTCACCTCAACTTTCAAGATTCTCCCATTCGTTTCTCTGCGAAGAAAGCTTCAGTTTCATTGGATTAGAAAGGAAACCATCAGCAGAGTGGGCAGCATCAGGAAAGAATTATAACACAATCTTAAGAGTATACAGTGAGGAGAGAGTATTTCCATTTTTTGCAAAAGAGGTATGAATGATAAACTATTTTATACTATTCTATGAATTTTGGGAACAGCCAGATGGATCACAGTGGACGTTTCTAGTCCTATATCTCTGTGTCTGGAAAAAGTGAGACAGATGCTTGTAAAATGGAAACTCTATACAGGATTGGTTTGGATGAAGAAAGCCCTTCACCCCATTTTACCTCATCCTTCCAGAATACCCACCATCACATCTTCCCACCACAGCATCAAGCTTTTTTTTAAAAATGAATATGCAGTTTAAAAGCTATATGTAATCCCACTTGGCACCTGACTCATGACATATGCTAATACAATTCAAATTGTTTCCCTCAGTGAATGACATCATCCACCCTGCATCCTCACCCAGATCGGATGATACCACGTCATCAAATGCACCCAATAGGTGCCTAGTGGGATCCCATATGGCTTTTAAATTGCATATTCAATTTCCTATTTCCAAGTAAGAAATAAGACACAATTAACAGAAACTTTAATATTCTACTAATGAAATCAAAATGGATATAATTTGTCCAATTCCCATTAGTTTTTAATGTTTAACCCAAAAATCATACCTTTAAGATTCCATCTCCACGTCCGAATGCAGCCAAGTTAAGGTCAAGGCTAAGGCAGCAACAACATATACGCGATTCCTGAACCTCAGTCTGACACATGACATCACCAGTCTTTCCATTTATTAACTGTTGTAAAAATAAATATCTAAAGTTAATGCTACAATTGTTTTTGTTTGAGAAGAAAAATGAAGATGATGACACATACTTAAGAAAATGTAGCAGGAACTGAAACTTATTTGGCATAGGCAAGACAATGGTTCTACTAAGTTCACATAATTAAAGTACGAGGGACATCCCAAAAGTAATGCCTCCTATTTATTTTGTGAAGAACAAACAGTAAGTGATTCAGTAATAAAAAACATACACAAGATACTTTTTTCATATATCCTGCCATGGAATGGATGGAATTCAATGTGGAGAAGTGTGAGGTCATCCACTAAAGATCCAAAAAGAGCAAAACAGAATATTTTCCAAATGTAGAGAAACTGAGAACTGTGGAAGAGCAAAGGGATTTGGGTATCCACATCCACAAATCACTAAAAACAAGCTCACAGGTGCAAAAAGTTATCAAAAAGGCTCAAGAGATGTTGGCTTTTATCTCAAGGGACTGGAATATAAAGGAGAGGAAATGATGCTTCAAACTGTATAAAGCCTTGGTCAGACCCCTTCTGGAGTGCTGTGTTCAGTTTTGGGCACCTCACCTCAGGAAGGATATATTGACTCTGGAGGGGGTGCAACGCAGATTCACCAGAATTATACCAGAACTAAAAGGAGTAAATTATGAGGACGGGTTGTATAAACTTGGTCTCTATTTCCTTGAGTTTAGAAGGTCGAGGGGTGATCTGATTGAAGTTTTTAAATAATAAGGGGATTCGTTAGGGTAGATACAGAGAAACTATTTCCTCTGGTTGGGGAGTCCACAACAAGGGGGCATAATCTTAAAATTAGAGTTAGGCCATTTAAGAGTGAAATCTGGAGGCCATTTTTCACCCAAAGGGTAGTGGAAATCTGGAACTCTCTCCCCCAAAAGACTGTGGATGCTGGATCCATTCACATTTTCAAGACTGAGGTCCACAGATACTTGTTAGGTCAGGGTATCATGGGATATAGGGCAGGGGCGGGTAATTGAAGTACAGATTAGCCATGATTTTCTAGAACTTATAGAATGGCGGAACAGGCTTGAGTAGCTGAATAGCCTACTTCTGTTTCTAGGTGTGCTGTTTATTTCATTTGGGAGGCCCAAGGTCACACCTTTCAAATGCAGCCTTCTTTGGCAATTAGACTCGAGCTTCTTTCAAATTTCTGATTTTAGTAGTCATTGACGACATCAAAGAACAGAAGGTGGCTGAGGGTCCCACCTCCAGGTTAATTACACCCACCATCTACTTGAGAACTAGTATTCTACTCACTGTACTACAACTCAGGCAGCATTGTTAGGCTTAGACCTATTTTGGGTGAATAGAAGTAACAGTAGGGAACTATAGAGAGGAAATGATGCCGTATCCAACTGGGATCAGATATTTGTGATATTTTGGGGTTTGGATGGCCAGAAGAAGGACACTGTATGATGCTTCCTGAACGTTGAAATTAATGTATATAATATTTTACAACTTGTTCCACTTAATCTGGAAAGATGAGATCAACCAGACCTTATTTATCCATACGATTTACTTTTCTAGATTACTTTGTAAACAAATTTACTATTCCATGGCCAAAAACCCTTTATTAAAGTAAAATATTTAAACAAAGGAATAGTTTCAGGAGAAGAATGTCATCAACCCACCTAGCTACCCATCCAAATATTACAGGAGTTTAAACACCTCTCTCCCTGAGATGAACTAGAGCTTCATCATATAACTCAGGTCTTCTTCACTCTTAGGTACAGGTGCAAATCAGCATGTGAACAGAGAGCTTCAGATTAATCATTTGGTTCCCTTCTCTCCTGCATTTCAATTCTTGCACAGATTTTATTTTTACCGATATTCACTGCATTTCCATTTACTTATATCCTTTTTCATTTACTTTCTGTACTGTGTTTCACTTGATAACATTTCAGTGCTAAAAAGACAGCTCCACTTTTGTAGGTTGAAGAGCTGAATAAATGCTACTGACTAAAGTGTGGTTTGTCAAAAATCTTACAGCAATTTCTTACCTGTAAACAATTTTTACTATCTGCTACTAAAACCACAACTTCATTCTGCTCGAATACGACATCCATAACTTGCATCAAAGAAATAGAAGAGGTGTGATGGACTTTGTTGGTCTCCCAAAGCTGCCAAGAAAAAGTAGTATCTGGGTTCATAACAGGCCCTTGTGTACAATGTTCACTGTTGCACACTATATTCTGACATCAGTGGAACCATTCCGCAGGAATAAAATGACACTTTTAAAATTCTTCAAACGCATCGAAACATTACAAGCTCAGCAATATTGTGCCTGCAACCATACCTGTTTCCCGTCTTCGAGACGTTTCAAAGTGCTTCACACAATATAGTGTAAAGTGAATTGACTATATTTTTGTGGGCGAGATCTATGGAATCCAAGAAGAAATAGGATGATTTTCTTTGTCTGAAAAGCCATAAAACAGCTTATTTTCTTCCATATTTATCTTACTGAAAAGGATCCATTAGAATATTTATGGAAGCTAAAATACAAGACACACGATTGTGAATTATTTCTCTATGTAATGGTACAGTACTATTTTTACTCAATCCAGCATGGATTTTTTTTCACAAGATAAATGACAGCAATTTAATATATTCCATGGCTGTGACTTCCAGAGCGAGGAATAACACCCCCTCACCCTTTTTATATGTTGCTGAAACTGGGGTGGACCAAAGCAGTGGTGGAAATTACATTAACTTGACAGTGTGAATTTAAATAATTTTTTTTGGGTGCAAAATGTTAGACAAAAGTAACTGAGGAGGGATGGGATATATATTTTAAAGCAGGCTTTAAAAAAGATTTAGGATAGTCCTAAGAGAGTTTTTTGTGTGCAGTGACAGCTGTTTGGTGATGATGATAATAATAATCCTTACATTTGATATCACGTTACCATGACATCTCAAAGCGCTTAACAGGATGTACTGTAAAGTGTTTTTAACTGTGTATTTTAATTGTTCACTTTCTTTTCAAATTTCATTGGCACATATGGCACCTCTCTGCTCCTGGTCTGGTCTCTACATGCACTGGTTACTCTCCAGTACCCTGCCCAAGTAGCAATGCTAAGTGTTAATGCTATCATATAGCACCACATCAGCAAAGTTGACCCAATTTGAATTGATTCCGTTAAAGAAACCAAAAAAATCACATGTGATTTTGGAGACAACATCTACATGCAATAGTCCTGAATGTTAGTAGTATCTGTGCCACATCCATTTCAGGTGTCTCTGTTTAAAAGAGGGTAGTTACTAGTTGGGAATGGAATTTTCACTTGCATCATTTACAAGCAATGCAAAGGAATTGTTAAGTCATTTCATCTTGTCAAAAAAATGAAAAAGTTAAGTCCAAAAAGCTTACACGGGTAAAAACAATGGCTTTTTGTTATAAATTGCTTAACTGCTGGGTTGCGTACATTGCTGTAAACCTCTTAATTGCTTCCTACAAATATTCTTACAATCAATTCTGAATCCATTTAAAATATTCAGTACGTCATTCAAAATCACATGGGAAAGGTGGGTTGGAAGCCTGGTTACCAAAGGCATGGATGGGTTTTGAAAGTAAACAGGGAGAGGCAGGGGGACAAGGATTTCAGAATAGCTTTCTAGAGGGCAGGACGAAAATATTTGATGATAAGGTGGAAGGTATGAAGCAGCCTGGAAATTAGGGAGTGGAGGAAATAGCCAGGGAGTAAGGTTGCAGGAGATCACAGTGGTAGGGTGGGGGAAGAGGCAAGGGTAGAAGAGGCAAGGGTAGAAGATAAAGATATGGATCTTAAAGTATATTAACTGGGGGAATAGGGAGTTAGTGAAGCCGAGTGAGGGTGGGGGTAATGAGGTTGCAGACCCTATAGTGGGAAAGAATGCAGATTATGGCGAAGTGGAGCTTGTAGATCTGCAGCGGATGGTGATGCAGATGACAAGCAAATCACTGGAAAAGTCAAGTCCTGAGGTGACAAAAACATGGCTAAGGGATGAAGCAGTGGTGGAGGTAGAGAATGTTGTGGAGATGGATGAAAGCAGACTCAGTCATAGCCAGGATAAAAGGCTTAAATGAGGCATCATAAGGAAAGAGTTAAAACCATTGTTTGATATGATATTGGAATGTGAGAGAGGATTCAAACCAAATGGAGTTGAGGCCTGTGTCACTGGATTCTGTTGCATGTTTGGTGAAAACTTGGACAGATGTTATTCCTTCCTTATTTGGAAAGATGGTGCTTAACAGTCCATCTCAAGTAAACAAATGGAGATTTATAAAGAAAGAGTTTATAATCAACTAAAAAGACCAAAGGTCTTGGATGTGTCAACATTCACGAAGGCAGATATGTGTGAGTTCCCTGGATTGGGGGTGAGGGTGAAGCTGCTCTGTGTGGTGCTGGGGGTGAGGCTGCTCTGTGTGGCGCTGGGGGTGAGGCTGCTCTGTCTGGTGCTGGGGGTGAGGCTGCTCTGTGTGGTGCTGGAGGTGAAGCTGCTCTGTGTGGTGCTGGGGGTGAGGCTGCTCTGTGTGGCGCTGGGGGTGAGGCTGCTCTGTCTGGTGCTGGGGGTGAGGCTGCTCTGTCTGGTGCTGGGGGTGAGGGTGATATTGTCAGTGCCTGCGAAGCTGCTAGCAGGATTTAAGCAGGACAGTCTGTGTTTCATTGATGTTAAGTTGGAGAAAGAAAGCCTGTCCAGGACGTGATGTCCGACAAACAGCAAATCAGAACACAAGTGGTCCTGAAATCGAGGGTGGAGTACAAAGATAAAATTGTAACGTTATCTGGACACATATAGAAATGGCCACTGCGAGTGAATGAGGTGAGCAAAGATAGGCAGTTAAAGAAAAGGAGTACTGAGAATTCAGCCTTGAAGAGTATGGCATGTAACAGCGTGAGGGTGGGAGGAGAAGCTGTTAGAGGCATAGTGAAAACTCTTGAGACAGATAGAAACAGTCCCTGCTTGACTTGAGTCTAAGGTAGATTTCTAGTCTTCAGTGAAGCTTTGGATCATAGTAAGAACATAAGAACATAAGAATTAGGAGCAGGAGTAGGCCATTCGGCCCCTCGAGCCTGTCCCTCCATTCGATAAAATCATGGTTGATCTTCTGACCAAACTCTAATTACGTGCCTGTCCCCATATCCCCTAATCCCTCTATTTTTTTAAAAATCTATCGGTCTCAGCCTTGAAGATGTTCAAGGACTGAGCATCTACAGCCTTCTGGGATAGTGAATTCCATAAATTCACTACCCTCTGAGTGAAGAAATGTTTCCTCAACTGTTCTAAAAAGCTGACCCTTAATTTTAAGACTGTGACCCTAGTTAGAGATTCTCCTACCAGAGGAAACAGTCCCTCTGTGTCTACTTTATCCAGCCCTTTAAGAATCTTATATGTTTCAATAAGATCTTCCCTAATTCTTCTGTACTCTAGGGAATATAGCCCTAGTTTATTCAGCCTATCCTCATAGGTCAGTCCCCTCATCCCAGGAACTAGCCGAGTGAATCTACGCTGCACCCCCTCTCAGGCAAGTATGTCCTTTTTTAAATAAGGAGACCAAAACTGCACACAATACTCTAGGTGCGGTCTCACCAAGGCCCTATACAGTTGCAGCAAGACTTCCCTACTCTTGTACTCTAAACCTTTTGCAATGAACACTAACATGCCGTTCACCTTCTTAGTTGCTTGCTGCACCTGCAAACTAACTTTTTGCGACTGGTGTACAAGGACACCCAAATCCCTCTGAACACTAACACTATCTGATCTCTCCCCCTCTAGAAAATAATCTGTTTTTCTATTTTTCTACCTAGGTGAATAACTTCACACTTCCCCACATTAAATTCCATCTGCCACCTACTCGCCCACTCCGCTAGCCTATCTATATCCCGTTGCAATCTTTTTGCATCATCCTCAGAGCTTACTCTCCCACCGAGTTTAGTGTCATCCGCGAATTTAGATACGTTACATTCAATGTCCTCGTCTAGATCATTGATGTAAATTGTAAATAGCTGAGGCCCAAGCACTGATTCTTGTGGCACTCCACTAGTCACATCCTGACAATTCGAGAATGACCCGTTTATCCCTACTCTTTGTTTTCTACCCGTTAACCACTCTTCAATCCATGCTAATATGTTCCCATTAATCCCGTGGGCCTTAACATTGTGCAATAGCCTTTTGTGTGGCACTTTGTCAAATGCCTTTTTAAAATCTAAATACACTACATCTACCGGTTCCCCCCTATCTAACCTGCTAGATACATCTTCAAAAAACTCTAAAAGATTAGTTAAGCATGGTTTCCCTTTTGTAAAGCCATGTTGACTCTGCCTAATCGTGTTATGGTCTTCCAGGAATCCCATAACAACATCCTTAGTTAAGGACTCAAGAATTTTCCCTACCACTGATGTCAGACTAACTGGTCTATAGTTCCCCATCTTTTCTCTTTTAAATTTAAAAGTCCATTTATTCCCACTCACTCAATGTCATAGGAGGACTCAGACAGGACTACATATTCAATTAACTGAATCCATCTCTGATTACATAACCCTATGATGTTTTGAGTGTAGTTATTAATCTTGGGTAACTTGCGAGTTTTCATTATTTGATAGAAGCAGAGTTCACTATACATACATCCTGAGAAATAGGAAATCCATACTGCAAACTCACTTGGGGAGAATTGATTACATCACAAAGGGATCACTCAACAGTAATCTCTCTCAGAGATCCCCCCAACATAGATATATTGATGCAGTATAACATTAAAGTTAATTCATGCACATCAGATACCATTCTGCTATACTATGGACTGATTTACTATTCCTTCACGGTAACACCGTTTTAATGTACAATTAAAAATACACTGAAACTTAACCCTTTGGAGGATGAAAGACCTTCCGCTGTCAAAATACACATAAAGTATGCAAGTATTTGTCAACAAGTGTTAGCTTGGTAGCACTCACACCTGAGTCAGAAGATTGTCTAAGCATACGTCTAAGCACATGGTCTAGGATGACATTCCAATGCAGTGCTGGGGTGTGTTGCATTGCCAGAGGCTGCCATCTTTCAGATGAGATGTTAAACTGAGGTCCCGTCTGCATGTTCAGGGGGATCTTGAAGGTCCCGTGGCACAATTCAAAAAGAGAAAGAAGTTTTTCCCAGTATCCTGGCCAACATTCCTCCAAACAAAATTGGTCATCTGTTTCATGGCTATTTGAGGGAAATGCTGCCGCATTTGCCTATAAATATACTCCATTTCACAGTAAATCCTGTGAATTGCTTTGAGACTTCCTCTCAATGTGATGAGGTGCTTTAGCAAATGCAAGGATTATTATTATGTATTTTAACAATCATCATCAGAAAACACAGACGCTGAAAAATATATTCAATCCTAAACTGTAACTGTAGCAAACAAAATAATTTTCTTATCTTGCAGAAAAATTGGTTATGGTACTCAAAAAGTGCAAACACCCCTGTTGGGCAATCTACTCAAAGATATTCTGTGTACTATGATCATTTATTGCAGTATATATTGCAGTGGAGTCCTGTAGCTCAGTGGTTGAAAGCACTCGCTTTGCAAGCGAGAGACCTGAGTTCAATTCCAGGCAGGTCAGGGCGAAACCTTGGGCAAGTTTCCTAACTCCACACAGAGCCTAATAATAATCCCTTCAAAACCAAAAACAATAATAAATTGGTCATTTTTAATCTATGTCTGTTTGTGGGACATTGCTGTGCGCAATTGGCTGCCGCGTTCGCCCACAAATATACAGTCAATTCACTTTACAGTGTGTTCTGTGAAGCGCTTTGGGACGTCCTCCCGATGCTATATCAAATGCAAGGATTATTATTATTATTATAAGAAGATAACATTTGTATAGCGCCTTTCACATTGGGAGGACGTCCCAAGGCGCTGGACAGAGTACAGCATTTCAGACCCGAGCTGGGGTCAGAGGGGGAAAGGGAGGGGAGAGGAAGGAGCGTGGCAATGGCATGGTCGAAGAGGAGGGTCTTGAGGTGGGACTTGAAAGAGGCTAAGGAGGGGGTGAGGCGGAGTGATTGGGGGACGGAATTCCAGAGGTTGGGGGCAGAGTAGCTGAAGGCTCTCCCGCCAATGGTGGGGCGGGTGGGTCGGGGGATGTGGAGCAGGCCAGAGCAGGCTGAGCGGACGGAGCGGGCAGGTTGGTAGAAGATTAGGAGGTCGCAGAAGTAGGGTGGGGCGAGGCCATGGAGGGCTTTGTAGGTGAGGACCAGGATCTTGAACTGGATCCTCTGAAGGATAGGGAGCCAATGGAGTCTGGCGAGAATGGGGGAGATGGGGTAACGGTGTTTGATGCGGGAGAGGACACGGGCTGCAGAGTTCTGGATTATCTGCAGCCTGTGGAGGGAGGAGTTGGGAAGGCTGACAAGCAGGGTGTTTGCACAGTCGAGCCTGGAGGTGATGAAAGCATGAACAAGAGTTTCAGCGACCTAAGGGGTGAGGTAATGGCAGAGTCACTGCACTACAAATAGAAAAGCACTTACCCGAACAGTTTGATCATCTGACGAAGACAGCAACATTGATCCATCTGGTGAAAACTGAACGCAATGAACCCAGCTCAAATGTCCACTACAGTCAGCCACTCTCTTCTGCAATTTTATGTCCCACAACTAGAGGAGATTGAAAAAAGAAATAGCATAAGTAAATGTACTTTTAAACCACTCTACCTGTGAATACCTGTCCTGGAAGTTTTAAATAATCAAATCCTTTTTTTTGAAAAAAAATTATAAATTTAAATTCTCAACTTCACTTTCAAATGCCTCCATGGCCTCGCCTCACCCTACCTGTGCGATTTTCTGCGGTCCTACTGCCCTGTGTCATTCCCTCCACCTGCTTCATATCACCTGTCCACTCTACCCCACTATCGGTGTGTGAGTTTTTAGACATTCTTTTCCTGCTCTTTGAAACTGCATTCCAGAGTCCTTCCACAAATGGAAAACCCACCTTCTGCTTTTGGCCATCTCTAAACAAGTACTTATATGAAGCATTTTCTCTCTCTTCAGCACCCCCTCCCCCAGCTTGCGCTCCCAGTGAGTTGGGTAAGCAGTTTGAGATATCCCCACGACTTGAAAGATGCAATCAATATAAATGCTGTGATACGCAAAGTAATTTAATTGAAATTAATAAAATATATTCATGGAGTTTAAATGGTATCAATTCTATTTAGAATGATGAAAATGTATATGTTTTTGTCTATTCATCAATCATGAGATACAGATCGTGTAGTCTAGAAGATGAAAAAAGTGATTATAGATGAGAGCAAACAGGAATGTTAAATCCAATCTACAATCTGACCTGAACTGCAACTAATTTACAGAGCTTCACAAAGACATATATTCCACCATAAATTGGTCACCACTCTTCAGAAGCTGCATAACTAAAAATAACTGTGAGTAAAGTTAGCTCTCTTCTTTTTACGCAAAATGAATCCCAAGTTAGATAGACGATACTTCCCTGCACTTAAGTACTAAGTAAACTAACATTGTATCACAGAAAGCTATGAGTGGTATAAAAACACTGACATCAGAGGTGCTTTCTAAACACAGCACACATCTAATTTTTTGTTCACTGGCATTGTGTTATAACTGGGTTTCCTTCCATTCCATACACTTACCTCTACAGAATAGTGAGACAAAGCTACTGCCACTAATGAACTGATAGGAGACGCATGGCAATACTGAATAGTGCTGTGACACCTTGATTCTAGTTTAGCTTCAATGTCACCAGTCGCCACATTGAAAATCTGAGAAAAGTAATTCATAGAAAGACTTTAGAAACAAAACTGTATCAGACAATATGGGTCGAGTCTAATTCTAGTTTATAACTTTGCATTCAGAATAAAAGTAAAGCAAATACTTATATAAAGCATTTTTACTACCAATCACACTTGTCAAATATAGGTTGGTGGCACTGTAATGCATAAAAAAACAGCAACAACTTGCACTTACATAATGCCCTCCACCAGGGCAGTGTCTCAGAGCACCTAACAGTGGTGGAGCCTGACTCGGGAGATGGGTAGGGGTGGGGGGGAGATGTGGCCGTAAGCACGTTCGAAGAGAAAGGCTTTCAGGCGGGACTTGAAAAAGGAGTGGGGGCAAGGCAGAGGAATAGAGGGAGAGTGTTCCAGAGATTTGGGGCGTAGTGGCTGAAAGAATGACCTCCGATGGTGGAGTGGGCGGTGCGAAGGATGAACAGGAGACTGGTGCCAGTCCAGGGGAGGCACCCGGTGGTGGATTGGAAAGTGATGAGGTCGGAGAGGTAGGGAGATGCCAGGGAGTGAATGGATTTGAACACGAGTGTGAGGATCCATTTGGTGATGGGGAGCCAGTGGAGCCTGGCAAGAATTGGTGAGATGTGGGTACAGAGTTTAGTCCGGGTCAGTATGCAGGCAGCAAAATTCTGAATGAGCTGGATCTTTTGAATAGTGGAGCTGGGGAGATCGGCGAGGAGTGCGTTGGAGTAATCCAAGCAGAAGATAACAAACTCATGCACGAGGTTTTCGGCTGCATTTGCGGTAAGGTACAGTCGGAAGTAATATGATGGAGGTGGAAGAAGGTGGTCCTGGTTAGGGACCGGATATGGGGGAAGGACGACAGCTGGGGGTCGAACCGAATGCCTAGATTGCGCACTGGTTCGGTCAGTCTGAGAGAAAGCCCAGGGAGGTTGAGGAGATCTGCAGGAGTGAAGACATTGACTGGGGCCAAGGAGCATGGCTTCCGTCTTGTCCATATTCAGCTGCAGGAAATTTGCACTCATATAGGCCCTGATGTCTGCCAGATAGGCTGATAGACCTGGAGTTGACACTGGAGGAGGCAAAGTAGATTTGCGTGGCATCCGCATACATGTGGAAGTTTACTAGTCTCTCTCCATGTCTCTGGATGACATCGCCCAGAGGGAGCATAAGAAAAAGTGGGCCAAGGATGGAACCCTGGAGTACCCTGCAGGTGACTGGGCGGGAGGAGAAACCATTTGCTGAGATGAAATGGAGGCGGTTGGTTAAGTTGGACTCAAACCATGCGACTGAGGTCCCACTAAGGTGAATGAGGGAGAAGAGATGGTGAAAGAGGATGAAGTGGTCGACTGTCGAACGCGGCAGAGATCCAGGAGGTCGAGGAGGCAGAGGGAGCCCTGGTCACAGATAGAATGTCGTTTGTGAGTTTGCGAGAGACTGGTCGACTGTGTCGGCTAGCGGGGGGAAAGAAGGGGGAATTCAGTGACCAGCAGCTGGGTGGGGAGGGGATTGAGGCGAACTTTATCCAGGTGATCCTGGTTGGGAGGGAGGAGGGAGAAATGAGGGCAAAGAAGTGTAAGAGGGGGGAAGCGGCAGGAGCCATGGCGGAGGGAGAAGGTGGTGTGGATGGTCTGGGTCACGTTCTGAATTCTAAGCTTTTCATAAAGGGAGTGAACTGTCATTACAATGAATCTCTGGATTTTATAATCAATCACTATTTTTAAAATGTATTAGCCCTCCCTGTGAATAAGGCAATGTCTTCTCACTGCTAACTCTCTCAAGAAGCAGGCAGATCTACTTATTTACAGACATTTATCCAATGCCTGGGTACTCTTCCATCTATCGTCGGGGGAGTGAGCTTCCATCTTGTCAAATTATTTTTCTCTTTTGACTGAACTGAAATAACTCTTGTATTCCCTGGTAACTTTCCCACCATTCCATTGTTCAAAATGTATTTGCTGCAAAAACAATTAAGACTTTTTATTACTCTCTTTAACACTATGATTAATTATTTTTCTTCCCTCTTGTATTCTCCCTAGTTTCCATATTAATTTTCTTAGATTCTGTATCCAAGCTATTTTGCACTCTATTATCTCATTTATATACTTACTACAGCCATTAATTTGTACTTTTCCTCTTATTCCCAATTCCTCCTGCTCCTTAAGTTTTAATTACGTTTTAATATGTATTTTATACTTTATATATCCTCTCACTCATTTTCAAATCCCTTTATCCCCTTGCACCTCCCTACCTATCTGATTTGCTTACCCCCTCCTTCCCTCCCACTTGGCTGGCTCCGGCCACCTGTTTGTTCCTCGTCCCCTCCGCTCCACCATCAGCGACTGTGCCTTCAGCACTACACCTTGAAACTCTGGAACCCTCCCCCTCCACTTTCAAATCCCGCTTAAAGACCTTCCTATTTAATTGTGCTTATGGTCACCTCCCCCCTCCCTTTCCCCCTGGCTCGGAGTCAGATTCTGCCACTGTCAAGCGCTCCGGGACACTACCCCGCGTGAAGGGTGCTATATAAATGCAAGTTGTTGTTGTATATAGATTGTCATTTAATTTCCTATTATTTCTGTGATTTTGTTTAATACTGGATTTGGCCTGTATTATTATCGTTTTCTTGATATATTTTCTAAGCATTGCTACACTTGTAAAGCACTGTAAACGGGTTTGGTGTACTTTCCAGCACAGGTTAATGAATCAAATTGTTGATGAATCAAACAATAACCCATCAAATAGCCATCATTGTACCTTTACCTGCACGGTGCCTGGAAAATACACCCAATCTCAATAACTGGAAATCTAATGGAATAAATTATCAAAAGAAAATACAAGTGCACCTATATAAATGTCAACCAACACAGCTTCAAAAGGAATTGATCTTGCCTGACCAACCCCAGGATGTGATTTCTGATGTGGCAATTCAATTTGCCAGTAGGAAGCCAAATGACAGCCTTTGGACAGTTTTAGTACAGTGTTTTGGAGACCAAAGAGGCTGATGTCCAGTGGTATAAGGAAATGTAAGGAAATACTCAATAAACTAAGACTCAACAAAAAAACACATAGAATCATTAAATTATACAGAAGGAGGCCATTCAGCCCATCGTGTCTGTGCTGACTCTTTGAAAAGAGCTATCCAATTCAATCCCTTTCAGCCAATGCTGAAATCAAAATGAAATTATCGAATCGGCTTCCACCACCCTTTCAGATCCGAACAACTCACTGTGTGAAAAAATGTCTCCTCACCTCCCCTGTTTCTTTTAACAGCTATTTTAAATCGGTGTCCCTGTTAAGTTCTTCGATAACAACTTTTAAGAGAGAAGTAGATGATTATTTGGGGAGCACAAAATTGCAGGGCTATGGGGAGAGTGTGGGGGAGTGGGATTGATTTGAATAGCTCTTTTCAAAGAGCTGGCAGACACGATGGCCTCCTTTTGTGCTGTATAATTCTATGATAAAAAAAAACTTATTCAGAACCGTGATCCAGCAAACGGTCCGGGACGCTACCCTTGTGTGAAGGATGCTATATAAATGCAAGTTGTTTTAACCAACAGAAGTTTGTAAGCAATACTGAGGCTTTTTCTGTAACCACTAAGCTCCTTCTGCACTGTATATTTCTGTGCAGTGGGATTGAATGTGCATCTTGCTCTATGAGCTGATGCAGAGTCAATAAGCCCAATGGCCTCTTTTTGCGCTGTAAACCACATGGTTCTATGCCTCAGCCTTCCATCTGTGTGGCTCGAAAAGGAGAGGCACAGCTATGGAAGCCATCGTAAATAGGATTAAAATCAAGTTTGGGGAGTGAAAAATAAATGCTCCGAGATATACAAGTGGAAAGACAAGACTGGAAAACAATAGAAATAGTCACAAGATGATTATTGTTTCTAGAGAGGTTTAGCTGAGTTAAGGTATCCAATTTGCCCTCACTGAAATCAGTTGGTGATCACAGCAACCACATTGCTTACTGTAGTTGCTCAGACACTTGCTTCACCCATGAGCTCAAACCACATAGTGGCAAACACCTTGAGACAAGACTTAACTGCAGTTAAAGATCCCACAATATTATTTGACGAGAAGAGAGTTTGTGAAAGTATTATTATTATTAGGAACCTTGGTTTGATCTGCATTTGATAACACATGCACTTAATACTTTACAATATAAATGTATCAGTGGAATATGTTGTATTGTGTTGAAAATTGTATGAAGGTCTTTGTGATGTTTGGACATAAGGCTATTTGCTATATCAAATACAAGTTTTTTTATATATAATCCAAGTTATCAGGATGTAAACCATATTGTACATACGACACTGCTGCGTCCATTCATTTTGTTTTGACCTTTTAACATAAAAATACTGGAACCTTATAATGAAACATTTTAAATTAACATTATTTCATCCATGAAGTTGGTTCAAAGAAAACCATTAACTCTTTAAGAAGATCACATGGAAGGAAATGGAAGGATTAGTATTCCTGAAACATTAGCACAACACCAGCACTCAAAAGAATCCCGCCAAAACCACATTTATAAATCACTTACAAAGAGAATATTTTTTGTAGCCGCAATGAGCTGAGAGCCATCAGATGACCACGTGCAGCATTTCACTAGCACCTCCTCCTTTTCCTGATTGTCATCTGTATTCATGAATTCGTTTTTCACATCGAAAAACTTCCATTCATTAGCAGATGACACATCCCATAGCTGCAAGAACACACCTATATCAGCAAGGCACACTTTTAAAAATACATGTGATTTATTTAAGAAAGAATTACCATTTTCAAAGTTGCTGTTCACATATTCGCTGCCGCATTCACCTCAAAATAAACAGCCACTACAATTTACAGTAAATCTTGCGAAGCTCTTTGAGATATCCTCCCAATATGAAAATCAATATATCTATTTCAAAATTATTAAAATAAAGGTTTTTTTTATATAGCAAATGAAACTGAACACATAATACAACAGAAATCTTTAATATTAACCACAATGTGCATTTTCAAATTATTGCCTGCCAAACCGAGAATAATTAAAGACGAGGCAATGATGATGTCGGATCAAAGCATTATGATAGCTTTACTTCATTATTGCTCTCCCTCCTGGTACACCTTATACGAATGAATCTCAAACCAAAAAGTAATTGACATCGGATTTGAAAGAATACAATCCCGTTGGTGCAAAGTCAACAACGATATGATTTAACCTAAAGCTTTGAACGTTAAAGAACTTAAAATGTTCACCTTCACTGTACCATCATTGGAGCAGCTGGCCAGATACTTATCATCAGGGGAAAAATTGCAGTGATTAACAGAATTGTCGTGACCAAACAGAGTGTTCTTACAGCTCTTCCCTTTCAGGTCCCATGTCTATGAACCAAACAGAAGCAACTTATGATCAAGTTAAAATAGAAGAAAAAAATGCAGTCACCATTTCTGGATGGCTTTTAACCCAGTTCTCTCTCAATTCTCTTTCCATTCTATAGCAGATTAAAAAAATATTTCATGGCAAATTCAAATTGAATTTCATGAAGACTGATAACGTTAGTCTACCTCAGTGGAGTCCTGTAGCTCACTGGTTAGAGCACTCGCTTTGCAAGCGAGATCTCTGAGTTCAATTCCAGGCAGGGCGAAACCTTGGGCAAGTTTCCTTACTCTACACGCCTAATAATAATCCCTCCAAAAAACAAAAACAATAATAAAAATTGGTCATTTTCAATCCATGACTGTTTGTGGGACATTGCTGTGCGCAATTGGCTGCCGCGTTCGCCCACAAATATACAGTCAATTCACTTTACAGTATATTCTGTGAAGCGCTTTGGGATGTCCTCCCGACGTGAAAAGCTCTATATCAAATGCAAGGATTATTATTATTATTGGTTGCAACCTCTGGGTGAGAAAGTTCAAGCCCACACCTCATCAAACTCATTATCTAGGTTGAGGGAGTGCTGGATTTCCGGAAATGTAATCCTTTGGGTGAGACACTAAACCATGCTGTGATGGTTCTATCCTGTGTTATAAATGAACAGTGCACTATCGTGTTGTGAAAAGCTGCTGTTGTCCAAGGTCCTGCCCGATATTTCTCAACCATCACAAAAAAAGTTAATTAATTGGTCAATCATCTCCTTGGTGTTATTAGGATATGGTTGGCTCAGATTAGCATAAACACAGAAAAAAGCTTTTACAGGAAGAATGTGAGCCACCCACTAATAGAAGGTGGGGCAGATGATTGGAAGCATTAGATTTCTTAATGTTCCAAACCAGTCACCTGCAGCAGTGTCTTGTAATGCTCCCTGTTATTATATATACACTTCCTCCATGACTCAATACACACAATATATTTCTCAAACATTTACAAACCATAATAGTGAAGCAAATTGAAAGCCAAGCAGCATTTCACTCACTTTCAAATACGTGTCATTGGAACACGTTGCCAGCAGATTGGTCTGCACCAAGTTTGAAAACTGACAATGATTAACTTGCTCTGTGTGATCACTGTATGTCTGCAGCAGCTCCCCAGTAACTGAATTCCAAACCTAGAGAAATAAAGCACTTTCACTACTACAAATGGAGAATGCCACTGCTACTTTTACATTATAAAGAGGTAATAATCACAGGTTAAAAACAATGCCTTACAACAGAACTAAATGAAAACTGCTTGTAAGCATCACTACTTGAACGTATGGCATCTGCCAGGTTTTATACCTTGACTTTTGTATCTGATGAGCACGTGGCTATAAACTTGTTGTCTGGTGAAAACACACAGCATAAAACGTCATCATCATGTGCAGCAACCTCCAAAACCTTCTCACCTGTTGTACTTTTAAAAACCTGTGACACAATTAAGAACAAAAAGTTGATCGCTGACTTCTTGTACCATCACTTTTATTTACTTTAATTAGAGGTGAAAAGTTTTCAACAGAAACACGTCTGACATTTTCCTTGGATGCTAAGAACTGGCCATTTCAAAAGAACATGAAATATAACCGAGAAAAGTGCCTTAAGTCTCTTAATTCACTAACTCTTTGAGCACTGTAGTTTGTACTGCATATTATGAACTGTTGGCAAGTCGAGGGAAAAAGATTACCCTGCTCTGTCTTGCAAGAAGACTTTTGGAAGCGTTTGAGAGAGCACTTGAAGCCTCAGCTAACAACTGGGGGGTGGGGGGGGGAAGAAATGGAATGAGAATAACTTGCCAGTAAGTATGTTGCTTGCATCCCATTTTCATACGATTAGCTTACTTTGAGTATATATTACTGAAGTAAAATGCTACAACTTCAGCATTATTAAATCATATCGGGGGTGCGGTACCAAGTTACTGGTACTTCACTGGTATCTTGCCTAACGCTCTGTTCTTTATGTGTGAACCGATACAGCGAGTATCAGGAAGCATCACAGCAAAGCCTGATCCTGGAACCAGAGCTTTTCAGCAGGATTATGATCAAAGGAAGGTGATCTGGGGCAAGGACCTTAGGTGAATTTTGCCATCTCTAACCCCAGAAGTACTGAGGCCATTTGTAGCAACTATCAACCCAGCTGAAATCAACTCATTCAGTAAACAATTTGGACCAGGAAATCTCCTGGCATGTAATGATTTGATTTCACACTGGCTTAACTGTAGTTACAGCATGCACAAGGGGGTGGTGGGGGGAATATTTTCAGCATCTGTCATTTCCTTCCGTGATAAGGTTATCACATCTGCCTGATGGAATTACATGTAGCCCCAACTGTGCTTTTGTTACTGCACCATTGCCCTTGGAAAGACATCTGGAAAGAGAATACAAATGGGCTGCTTTTATTTCTTGTAGAGACATTTTCTTTAAGTCTTTGTCTTTGACTGGATAAACTGATGAGTTGTAGAAAATGATTGCAGATGATGATAATAATGATAAATATTGCAGGAAAGAGAAATGCTTGATCCTCAGTTATGTTATCACTCTTCAAAAGGAGTACCATGGAAATTACTTGACCTTGAAAGGCTGGGTGGTTTGAATGCATTATAAAGTGCATTGCCTGAGGAGTCACAAACAGCAAAGAAAGTGGTAAAGCAATTTCCAGATCATAAAATTTGAACTGGGATTTAATTCAGCTCTTTGAAAACAAGCTTTGAGTTAAGATTTACTTGTGTTGCACTAAATGCTCTCTCATTTTTATTACAATCAGAGTATGGCATAGGTTTCTGCTTTTGCTCTTTTCAGCATATTATTAAGGAAAGTGGGTTTCCATTCTGTCATTATCTTTCAGACGTCTCGAAGACATGATAAGGAGCAATATCAAATGCAAGAATTATTCTTTTTATTATTTTTGAACAACACATTCCCAGAGTTGTTTACCTGGAAGTTTTTATCAACTCCACAAGTAGCTATCCTCTGTCCATCAGGCGAGAAACAACCGTGGAGAACAGCATCGGAATGAGGTCGAACGACAAGGCGAGTCAAGCTCTGTAAATTTTTGTTCCTATTATTGGAAAATTCTGTTAATCTACATTCATAAAGAGAACAAATACTTTGCAATACATTATAACTGCAAAATTCCAAACAATTCATTCAATGTTACAAGAAATATTATAGTCTATAAAGAAAATAATGTTTGTGTTATTTTCAAAACAAAATAGGCTCTGCTGACGGTCTTGGTTTTAATGGTGACGGCAATGCCAAGAGACCTGAGTAAAAATTTTGACTGCTCAGGTGATCAGATTCAATTCCTGGTATGTGCTGCATAAGCACGTTTGCAAAATAACAGGTAGGATGCTAACAACTGTCTTAAGTATTTCAGGGATGAGGGGGTGGGAGATCAGACTGGATTTCTGTTCCTAATCTGAACCTGACAACCTTCCGTAGGAAAGTGTTCAAGTGTGAGCACTGAATGAGAGTTGGATTATAATCAATTTTGGTGCCATGACCCTTTCATGGATTATTTAGGCTCAGACATCTTTGGCGCGAGCGAGGAAGGGGTCCAGACTGAACTTGTAATAAACAGAACACCAGGGGTGAACACTAGGGGGATTATTGAGCTGAAAAGAATCAGACCTGTGTATTCTGATAAAGCTCTTTGCTCAATGTTTTTTTTAAACATAGATTTCTACGCTATATGTTGTGACAAACATAAAATGTAGTCGATTATACAAGCCTGCTTGAACCCTTGAAAAACAGAATTCATTGTCGGTGTCAGGAAATGGGAAAAAATAGGGAAGATTGCCAAAAATAATGCCTATTATAATAACTACTACTAGTTATTGTAACCGGTTAGATCTGATGCAGCTCAATAACTTAATAATAATCCTTGCATTTGATATAGCGCTTTTCACGTCTTCTAGACATCTCAAATCGTTTCATAGAATATGCTATAAAGTGAATTGACTGTATATTTGTGGGCGAAACGCGGCAGCCAATTGCGCACAGCAGTGTCCCACAAACAGTCGTGGATTGAAGTGACCAATTTATTATTGTTTTTTTTTCTTGAGGGATTATTATCAGGCGTGTGGAGTAAGGAAACTTGCCCATGGTTTCACCCTGCTGGGAATGGAACCCAGGTCTCTCGCTTTTGAGGCGAGTGCTCTAACCACTGAGCTACAGGACTTCACGAGGACAGGACTTAAGCACATCACGATTTTGATTCCTGTGAAATACTTAGTTCTAGTCCCAGGGTTGTTAGACCCTTGGATGTGTCTTGCATGATTTGGTAATTCTCAGATGAGTTACTTGCTGGAGTAGCCTGCGTGGAAGCAACATGCCATGTCTAGAAAAGGGACTGCCCACGTGCCTGAACTGCCTCAGCTAAACAAACCCTGCATTGAGATCATGGTTCAGGGCACAACTAACAATGGAGACTGTACGGTGGGGTGGGGAGAAGATGTGCTTCTGTATTTCTTTGTAAATATTATACCCTAAGCAGTCCCATTTCCTCCACATACAATGTTTCCAAACCATTTGATATTGTAACTCAACAAAGATTATATCGAACCTTCTAAAAGCCTCATTTCCCCTCTGTGCGTTAATTTATTTGCATTGTACTATGATTCTATGTAGGAGTAAACCCAGGTACAATTTAGAGACACAATCCAGATCAACTGCAATACCTTGCTAATTCCTCAGCCAGAATATCTCTTTAAGTGAAGTACTGTATATAATGTAATATATTGTAATACATTAAAAAAGGAAAGTTCAAAAAAAAATTCTCCAACCATCACCCCTTCCCCTACCCCTCCCCCATTACAGAAAATAACATCAAATTTCCTCATATCAAGTACCCTTTCTTTCAGCAGAGCTGGGACGCGACGACTCATTCCAGGACCTTGGAGAGGAATGGGAGGTTAGAGATGGGGCGGTAGCTGGAAAGGAGGGATGGATCCAGGGAAGGTTTTTTCAGGATGGGGGTGATGACGGCTGTTTTTAGGGAGGTGGGAACTGAACCGGTAGACAGAGAGAGGTTGATGATATTGGACAGGAGGTGGTCAGAAGGTGGAGCTGGGAGATGAGGAGAGAGGTGGGGATGGGATCGAGGGAGCAGGTGGTGGGTTTGAGTTTGCGGACAGTCGTGATGAAGGTGGAGGGAGAGATAGGGTCGAAGGAGTATGGGGGGGTGGGTCATGAGGGAGAGGTGATTGTGGGGGTGGCTGTGGATGTGGCTGAACATATCCCCTCGATTTTAGATTCGAGGAAGTCTAGCATCTCCTCACAGTTGGAGTTTGAGGAGAGGATGGATGAGGTATGGGAGGGTGGACGGAGGAGACGGTCAGTGGTGGAAAAGAGAAGCCGGGGTTTGTCCTTTACCTCCAAGGTAACCTTAGAGTAGAAGGAGGATTTGGAAGGCTATTATTGCCAAAAGTAGCTTTACGCTGTAAACCAATTATGGTGGAGTCCTGTAGCTCAGTAGTTAGAGCACTAGCCTCACTCTTTGCAAGCGAGAGACCTGAGTTCAATTCCAGGCAAGGCGAAACCTTGGGCAAGTTTCCTTACTCCACACGGTTAATAATAATCCTTCCAAAAAACAAAACTATAATAAATTGGTCATTTTCAATCTACGACTGTTTGTGGGACATTGCTGTGCGCAATTGGCTGCCGCATTCGCCCACAAATATACAGTCAATTCACTTTACAGTGTGTTCTGTGAAGCGCTTTGGGACGTCCTCCCGACGTGAAAAGCGCTATATCAAATGCAAGGATTATTATTATTATTATTATTATTATGACCCACTCTGCCTTCCCTCACCTCCATAACATCTCCTGACTCTGCCACTACCTCACCCCTCAGGTCGCTGAAACTCTTGTTCATGCCTTCATCACCTCCTGGGTCGTCTATTCAAACTCCCTGCTTGTCGGCCTTCCCAACTCCTCCCTCCACAGGCTGCAGATAATCCAGAACTCTGTAGCCCATGTCCTCTCCGGCACCAAACTCCGTGACCCCATCTATCCCCTCTCCACTAGCTCCCTATCCTTCAGAGGATCCAGTTCAAAATCCTGGTCCTCACATACAAAGCCCTCCATGGCCTCGCCCCACCCTACCTCTACAACCTCCTAAGCCCCAACCAACCCACCCGTTCCCTCTGCTCAGCCGGCTCCGGCCTGCTCCATGTCTCCCGACCCACCCGCCCCATCATTGGCGGGAGAGGCTTCAGCCACTCTGCCTCCAACCTCTGGAATTCCAACCCCCAGTCACTCCACTTCGGCCCCTCCTTAGCCTCCTTCAAGTCCCGCCTCAAGACCCTCCTCTTCGACCATGCCATCAGCCCCCCTCCCTTAACCCCCAACCCCAGCTCGGGTCTGAAATGCTGTACTCTGTCCAGCACCTTGGGACGTCCTCCCGATGTGAAAGGCGCTATACAAATGCAATCTTGTTGCTGTTGTTGTTCTGGCCCACTGATAGTACTAATAACAGATTCAAACTGACACTACATGTCACAAGGAAACAACAGTAGTATAGGAACAGGATTCGGTCATTTAGCTCACCAAACTTAATCCATCATTTTGTTTTATTGTGGTAGAGGTTTCAATTCGATTCATCCTTTTCTCTATATCCCTTAATACACTTGCTTCTGAAGTATTTATCCTTCTCCCATTGAATTCTGCATCTCCCTTTGTGGGAAGTACATTCCACATTGCCACAATGCTTTTTGTGAAGATGTTTTTGATCTAACTGGTTTAATTCTAATTTTAAGATGATGCCTTGGTTTGCATCCCTCAAATTAAAAAGTCACAGTACCTGTCTGGTGTATTTGGTAGAAATAGTTCAACTTGGTTTCATATTAACACTAGATAAATTAACTATGAGAGAAATGAAGCACAAACATATTTATGCTAAATAAAGAAGATTAAAATAGACAACTCAATAAGCGATGTATGAGTTTCTAAAGTGTTAAAATGATTTCAGTCCTTTTTGACGAATGTAAACATTCAAATTCAATGTCATATGCTCAATTTAATAGGTTTTAGAGACATTATGCCTCTTTAGATACTAACATCCATTCCAAGTAGACAACTCTGTCTTTGGTTGTTTTCCCAGCTTCCAATCTTGCTTGACGATACACTTCTGAGCAGTCTGGCTGACAAAGCCCCAACTGCACAATATCTGGGAAGGGCTTCTGCACCAGAAGATGGCCTTTCAAAGACAAGAATTCTTGAAAATTGTCACGTACTGTGCTGTTCTGTAAAGGAGGTGGTACATTTTTTTTAAACTTTAAAGTTGCAATTCAGTTAATCAATAAAAGGATATAATCTCCAGAATAATGATTTGGCTAGGCAGAAAGAAAGTAAAGCAGGTCTTGAGATTCTCTCCCATATTTAGTTGTTCACCACAAACTGCAGGGGAAATAAATCCACTGGGTCTTTTATTCTATTAAAACAAAAGTGCACTGATTCTCACAGCATTCTCTGGTGCTATTTTTCTTGGATGAATGACTTAAAGATAAACACCAGAAGCAGACCTGGTGTGAAAACTGCCATCCTGCTTTTCAGTTAAGGATGGCACCTTTCTCAACCAACTTCCCAATTTAATTAGTATCTAAGACAGAATGGAGGGAGTATATAACCAGAGCCATCAACAAAAAAACCCAGAGCAGCCAATACAAATTCTAAAGCCCTTTGGGAACATGCAGTGGCTTGCGATTGATAAAACATTCAGTCATCAGGTTGTGTAACCAAGAAATTTTATGTCGTCGCTGGATTTAATCAAGATTAATGTTATCGATTTAGATGTGTAGTGTGGTGTGTAGTGTGATCTGTAGTTCAACAGTGAATGAATGCTTGCAGAACCAATGCTCTATGAACAGAAAATTCGGATAGCAACATACCACCTTGACTAGATTTGCAAATTGAAAACTTATCACAGATTTTAAAATAATATAGTGATTTTGTTGGACCAAATGAATTCAAGAATTATAAACTTGATAACATACAGAAAATTTATCTGAATCTCAAACCTTTTCCCCAAGCACTTTCTGCGTTTTTAACAGAAAAACAGCTTCCTTTCTTTCCGCTACCCAATATACCAATGTGTAGATGATGAAAATGAATGAATTTCAATACAATATGAAATCACAATCAGAAAACCCAATGCAAGAGTAACAATATTTTACATTGTCCCAAGAGACTCCCTGCATTGTTTGTTTTTCCATTCAGTTATTATTAGACCACCAGTTATGCTGATGTTTCCTTTGTAACATTGATCCTTTGCAGCAAATGTCCTAGTTGATTGCACTAAGTGACAATCACATTTTCATATTCCACTGAATTGAGATTAACACAAATATATTTTGTAATATTGCCAATTAATAACTAAATGAAAAAAACTTTGAATAATGCCCGATGCATCTCACAATGTTATAAATTAGTTCACATCTGCTCAGTGTACAAGTAAATAACAGTTGTAAACACCAAGAAGCTATCTATCAGCAGTTCACAGACAGTTATGAAATTGCAAGCCAATAGTTAACGTATTTTGTTCTTAAATACACTTCTCAATCTCCTAACCAAGGCATATTTTAATTATTGAAATCTTCAGATCACACTCTAATACCCAGGTCCAAAACATATTCAGCTTTCACTGCTTAATTGATTGATCTTTGAAATGGAAATTTAATTTACCTCGCTGGTGTATTTACTTAGTACTTTTAAGTTATTAAGCATATTTTTCTTCTTCCTGCAAATTAATATGTACATAGAGATTCCTATTTCCTCTAAACTACAATTCACATTATGTATTATACCAACCAGCCTAAGCATCATTGCATTATTGTTGCATAATTATTCAAACTATTTTCATACAGTTAAATATTTAATAGCCTAAACTTAGTGAGCAATTTCTATTCAATATTCAAGTACATACCACCCCTCGATGTATGCTCATTTACAAATATAATGTAATATTGTATGAGAACAGATTTCATTATAAAACAGCCACTGATGCTTCCACTCAGAGCAAACCTGTACATAGTGGAGTCCTGTAGCTCAGTGGTTAGAGCACTCGCTTTGCAAGCGAGAGACCTGAGTTCAATTCCAGGCGGGACGAAACCTTGGGCAAGTTTCCTTAATCCACACGCCTAATAATAATCCCTCCAAAAAACAAAAATAATAATAAAAATTGGTCATTTTCAATCCATGACTGTTTGTGGGATATTGTTGTGCGCAATTGGCTGCCGCGTTCGCCCACAAATATAGTCAATTCACTTTAGTGTGTTCTGTGAAGCGCTTTGGGACGTCCTCCCGACGTGAAAAGCGCTATATCAAATGCAAGGATTTTTATTATTGTTATAGTATTTTCTAGTTACTGCATAATTAGTTTAAAAACTGTTTATTCTCAATCTAATGAGACAAATTTCAGTAATCAGTCCTATCTATCTGACTAATACGTATTATAATAATCACTGAAAATTTATTTTGTAGCTAGTTTTATTGAGATGCTTCATTCGTTTCTGTTAGGGGCTTGAACTAGAGAATTCCATTATCCACTGTAGTAACCTCAAACAACTCAAAATTTAATTAGAAATTTTGAATACCCGCTTTTCTCTGTTAGCATTACTTGGTGGCCAAACAATTGTGGAGCTGTGGGAGGCATTTGCGAACTGATTAGTCAGTAAAATCACTGTCAGGAGTGCATCATGGACATCATTAAACATTCATTACAATCTCTATCTTGAAACTGAAAAAGCAAATAATATTGAAAGAAAAATACTATTCATTTCCCTCCTTGCAAACACCCCATTGCAATTTTGAGTGATGCAATTTAGAGGTTTGTGAGGTACATGAATCACAGGCACACACAGTAGGTACAGAAATAACCATGCACTGCATTACACTCCTACACAAGATTTTATATCACTCCAGATTTTGAATGCTTGTTATTCTACATTTTTTGAATTAAAACGTTTATTCAGAACATTTATTTTTAGTATTAGTCTGTGACCATGTAATAATCATTGAGATATAAAAAAGTGCTGACTTCAGCATGAACAGCCAGTTGAGGTGCTATAATTGACCTGCAAGTAAAAGGGAGAGAGAAGAGAAAACAGCCAATATTGTCGCATGTGTGATCCCTAACCAGTGACCCTTGTTGGAAACTGGGTATTTGTGGACTTCAGGTGAGAGCAATATTGAACTAAGACTGTTAGTACCTGCTGTTAGTACCTATAGATACTGGAGACCTTGCAGCACCAGTAAACCATATTTGTAGATTTCAGAAGACAAGAAAGAAGAGAAAAGGATATTGATAAAAGATAACATTTTTGGAAGCACAGTGCAATGGAGAAAAGGTAGTGGCTTCAGAAGCAATGCGTTCTGCACACATTCTTTTATGAGCGGAATGGATGAAAATTTAATTAGGCTCTTCTCAATGTGTGGTGTGTTAGAAACTCTCCAATCGGCCATTGATATACATGAACTTTCATACACATTTTTTAAAAATGTGGTCATGGGACCTTTTTTTAGACTGCTTCCTCCCCTCCTGATCAATCTGATGGGGGAGCAAAAATCAGACCTTGCAGAATAAACAAGGTATACGTAGAAATTAAAAGTTTTAATAAGCAAGAGGCTGTTATTTAATGCCAACAAACTCTAAGGAAAGACTTGTCAAGGGTTGAAAAACAACCAGATGAATCAATTCTACTTTTCCAGATGACAAGTGAGTGTTTCTGAACAAGCTATTCCAGGGGCCACAATTAAAAGAAACCTGAAAATCTAACAGGAACAAGCCTCTTGTCAAATTTAATAGAAATTCAACAAAGCATTACCAACACTTTGAGGTAATAAGTTAGCGTTTATGTACAGATATGGATAGCAAGTCCCAGAATATCCATCACCAAAAAGTATTTGTAAAGTCTAATGCGAGAAAACGAGTCATCAGATTTGATTAAATAAGATTCAAAAGTTTTAAATTACTCGGGTGACAAGTAATAACACTTGTGAGCACAATGACACTGTCCAAACTAAGAAATTGATGAAAAGGCAACGATTTATCAAATTAATTACCAATGCAATTGGTGTTTTCAGATTCATGGGGAATGAACAGATAAGGAAAGTCAGTTCTGAAAGGGTCTAAGAGTCAAAACTATTATGCTAAGGAGTTCAGTGAATGCAATATATGGAATTTCAGTAATTAAAAACTGCTGATATGATATAACATTAAATATAAAGCCACTCACACATACCTCACCTTCCACAATCTGTCTTTTGAGCAATTCAATAAATGTTATTAAAATCAGTGGAAGATCAGGTTCAGAACATGCCCTCAGTAAAAAAAATTTGCACATTTCTGTGCTGTGTTTTGAGATGTCTTCTTTTGCCAGCGCTCAAACGCTATCCTGCATGACAAAGTAACAGATAACATTCTGTCCATCTGCCCTGGTCAAAGTGACAAATGACATTCTGTCCATCTGTGACCAGGGCTCCCTCTACCTCCTCATCCTCCTTGACCTCTCTGTTGCTTTCGACACTGTCGACCACTCTATCCTCATCCACCGCCTCTCCTCTCACCTCAACCTCCACGGCTGTCCTTGATTGGTTCAGATCATACCTCTCACACCGCCTGCACTTCATCTCCTCAAACGGCTTCTCCTCTAGCCCCTGGACCATCTTGTGCAGTGTTTCTCAGGGCTCTGTCCTCGGTCCCCTCCTCTTCAATATCTATGTGTTCCCTCTTGGTGACATCATCCACAGACACGGGGTCAACTTCCACATGTATGCGGATGACACCCAACTCTACCTCTCTGCCTCCACCCTCGACTCCAGGACCACTGCTGTTCTGACAGAATGTCTGTCAGACATCAAGTCCTGGATGAGAGCTAACTTACTTCAGTTGAACGTCAACAAGACCCGAGGCTCTCCTGATTGGTTCCCGTCAGCGTCTCCACACCTCAGGCACTGACAGTATCACCATCCATGGTTGCACACTCCACCTTGCTAAGCCAGTCCGGAACCTTGGGGTCTTGTGGTAAATATATACAAAATATCTAATGTCAATGAGAAACTTACCTCTTTATCCAATATGTGCCTGTATTCCACAAAGTCATTGATCAATGGGGCTGGGCCCATCAGCTCAGTCTTGGCCTTTATCCAGTCCATTGAAAACATAAGTAAATACAGCTCCTGTGGAAAACCATTTACAACATTTCAGCTTGCTGCTCTCTAATAAAGGGGACATAGAATCCAACCTGTTCAGATCCACAGGTCGATTTGCACCATTAACTCACGGGGAAGCATCCCATTAAGCACAAATTACTTTTGAAAGTGCACAGAAATAGACCACTTATCCCTTGACGAGAAGGTCTTGACATTTAAGTCTTAGAGCTGCTGTCTTTCAGACCTGGTTATCCAAGTTGGATGCAAGTCCCACTTGTGCTGTTAAACATCACAAACAGCACGTCCTCCAGATTATATTCTATCTTTTGTTGGAAATTAGGAGACAAACAAGATGAACCAAACACAACTGCCCAATCTAGTTAGGAATTTGGTTTGCAAGGTTGAGGACATGTCTACATAACTTATCAAAGTGTTTCCTAGGTAACTGTTGTCAAGTGTAGTAATTGTATTTGTAGGAAGATGCAGCAGCTAATTTTCGCACACCAATGTCTGGCAAACAGCCAATTTACCTAAAGATCAGTTGACAGAAAAAACATATTTTCTTTTTGAATTGTTTCATGGGATCTTTGACTTCTGCCTGACATGGACTTAGTTTTAACAATCTTATGTGAAGGACAGCACTTCCAACACACCAAGTTTTAGCCTAAAACAGGGCGATCCAACCTCCTGGCTGCTGAGAGCCAGAGGCTTGGTTTGAGAAACGTCCGCAGGCCGCATAAGCAATATTTTTTTGTTTCCCTTCAAGAAACATAACATTTACCTTTTCACGTCGGAAGGATGCCTCAAAACTCTTGACACTGCCAGCTGGACACCCGAGCTGGGGGTGGGAGCTGAGGGAAGTGAGGGGGGAAAAAGATTCCCGAAAGTGTGGTCAAATAGTTAGATCTCAATGTGCCTTGAAAGAGAGGCGGGGGAAGGGAGTGAACTGGAGGGACTCTTGGGAATGAAGCTCCAGAGAGCGGGGCTATAATGGTGATGGCAGGGCAGGTAGGGTGGCGAGACATGAATCAAGATGGTGTTTGCTCTGCAAAGGGAACGGCAGGGTTGAGAGGTCGCAGCGGTGTGGGGGGAGGAGGGATGGAAATGAAGGACATAGAGGAGTTTCTCACTGGGGAAAGAGGAAGCTTTCTGTGAGGAAACTGCACGTCACTTGGTATCCATCCTCAGTCCCCCACGTGGTGACCGAGGGAAGCTCCGATCATCTGTCCTGACAGTGAACCACAAAATATTGCCCTCCCATCCCTCCTTCCCTTCCTTCACTCCCTCCCCCTCTCTGTTTATCTCTACCCCCATGCTCTCTCTCTCTCAATCACAATCTCTTTCCCCCTCTCAGTCAATTAATCACTCTCTCTCACACATTCCCCCTCTCTCTGATCCTCTTTCCCCCATCTTGCTCCCTTCTCAATCTCTCTCTCCCAATCATTCTCTCTCTCCCTCTCTTAATTACTCTCTCACACACACTCTTTCATACCTCCATCAATCCCTCTGCCTTTCCCCCCTCTCACAATGATTTTCGCACACTCTGAGGAGGGAAGGTGTGGGAGGCTGCCTTGAAATCATCCCCTGGGCCCCAGTTGGACCACCCTGGCCTAGACTACGAGCTCAAAGTCCTGATGTTGGTCTTCAAATCACTATCTTCTGACCCAGGGACGAGAATTGCACCCAAAAATCAGAATTCCTTCCCCCCATCATGTCCCCCGCCATATATTTACACTCAACCTGCATGTGCAGTTTTTTTTTAAGTACTTGGAAGTCCTAGCAGGAGAAACGGCTGTGAGGAAAAATCATAGCAAAAGAATGCTTTTTCCAGCCTTTCTGACTTATGAAATTGCTCCAACACAGAGTGGGTTCACGAATCAAACAGGTAGTTAATTCAAATACTAAGCCCAGGTGTAGCTCCAGGTTTTAATATAAATAAGAAACCAGAAAAGGCACCTATAGTGGCTGTGCTGGCTTAAGGCAGAATTAATATGAGACTGATTTTATTGCACAGGGTTTGAAGATAATTCAAACATCAACAGTGAAAAATACACTGGCTTGTACAGCTACAGCTAGAGAATAAGTGCAAGAAATTACTTTTTATAAAACACTCTTATCAACACTCTGCTTGCATTTTATCAAATCAACAGACTTCAGTATCCTTCCAGGTGGGCTGAAAATGTGACAAGAGATACCAAAACAAATATCACACCATTTCCTCTTTATGGGGGCTGGCTAGGTGGACCAGGTATAGGACATATCCAGTCCTATACATTTCTATGCTTTATGATCCTATGTACATCAACCCACCATCAACATGACTGAGACTGCCCCAATCAATTTCTTTCTAAAGGCTTTCAACTTTTCTCATTTTTATTATACCATGAAATATTTGATAATACTCAAGTCAAAAGTAAAAACATGTCTCTCCTGTTCAGCATCAACTTGCTGGAAAACTGGCAGAGAATAATTTAGCACCATCCAAATGCATGTTTAAAGTCTATTTATCCTTTGTGCTGCAGAAAGGGGTAAACCTCTCCACTGGCACAGTATTTATTCTTTGTTAAATTAAAACAGATCAGAGATAGCCCTGGTCGTACCTATGACCCTACAGTATCAATCAATAATATTTTATTTCAGCAATGTAATTTTAATTAAAAAAATAGGTATGTAAAAAGACTTTCGAACATTTACATGATCAGAAAAGATCACTGCAGTGCCTCAGGTGCCACTTCATTTGTCATTATGATTACATTTAGCCATTCAAAACTCCAGTTGTTCCCACCTCCAAAATAGTCTGGGATGAAACTGCAAGTTTGAGTCTGAAAGACTGTTCATTTCCAGTGCCTTATATTAGGTTATAATTGGAAATGGCATCCAATTATCAAAAAAGAACCTCTAACATTCTCTAACATAACTTGCATATGAAACATAATGTGATTATGCAGCACAATAAATACTAACCTTGTGCATAAGTGCTTCTGCCATATGGCCTATCAGGAAACTGTACCAATACATACAATCCTCATCAGATGGTAACGGAAAGTGTTTTTCATGCACCTTTTGGTACTGGCGAACCATTTTCGCATGCAGCTCCTAGAATAAGGCAGGAATTAATTGAAGAAAATTGGAAAAAGTTATACAATAGAATAATCCTTGCATTTGATAAAGTGCCTTATCACGTCTTTGAGTTCTTGCACTCTGTTCAGTGCAGTAGGAGCTTCACAAGATATACTGTAAAGTGAATTGACTGTATATTTTGTGGGGGAACCACGGCAGCCAACCTCGCACAACAGTGTCCCACAAATAGTCGTGGATTGAATGACAAAATTATTATTTTTTTAATGTCTTTTTTAAGGGATTATTAACCGCAACCATACTATTATAATATTTTTTTTAAGGAATTATTACCCTGGAAAAACGATCTTCCAATTGACTAACAACCTGGTTCCTACTTATTGCTAGGTAAACAGAGGTGTGTGGAGTAAAGAAACTTGCTCAACATTTCAAACCCGGGTCCTTTCATTTGCAAGGCGAATGTTCCAGCCACTGAACTACAGGTTTTCAGTGAGCAAGCGGAGTGCTCCTACTGCACTGAACAGAGTGCAAGAACACTACTCTCCTGCAAAGTATGGTCATCAGTAAAGCCAGGTTGGTCAAACCTTTTGGCTGCTGAGGGCTGAATGCCAAAGAGAAGTACTGAATGGATTTAATATTAAAAAAAATGGTAATGGAGAAAATAATGAGACTAAAGATAGACAAATCTCCAGGACCTGATAGATTCCACACCAGGGTGTTAAAACAAGTAAGGGAGGAAACTGCAGATGCGTTAATCATAATTTTCCAAAGCTCTCTATATTTGGGAATTGTGCCCTTAGACTGGAGAATTGCAAATTTCACTCCATTATTTAAGAAAGGAGGGAGGGAGAAACCAGGTAACTACAGACCTGTCAGCTTAACTTCAGTTGTGGGGAAGTTACTGGAATCTCTCATCAGAGACAGAGTGACTGAGCACTTGGACAAGTCTGAGCTAATCAAAGAGAGTCAGCATGAATTTGTGAAGGGTAGGTCATGTCTGACTTACCTAATTGAATTTTTTGAAGAGGTCACTAACTTGGTGGATAAAAGACTGTCTATGGATGTTGTCTACATGGACTTCCAGAAGGCATTTGATAAGGTTCCGTACAAGAGGTTATTAGCCAAAAAAATTAGAGGTAAACTGAAACTTTTCATTGTTCCCCACGCTTCTGTTCACATTTCGCCTTGCCCAGGAATCAAACCCAGGTCCTCTTGAATGCGAGGCGAGTGCTCTAATCACTTAGCTACAGGACCCCACTGTAGCTTTAAACAAGCTTTTAAACACAAGCAAGAACTCACAGTAAAGGAACTCAGCAGTTACAGAAAAAATGAGTAATTGAAAGCCAATTCTCTGGAAGTTTTTTTTAAAAATGGACCATCTTGATGACATACCTATAGTGGTTGCAAGTTAAAATTCCAGGAGTTAACCAACTGATGATGCATGCGAATTAGAAAAAGAAAGGCCCATATTTAAGGTACCCGATTCTTGAATGATTTATCTATCTCAGCCTTTAAGAACAAGCATACTGGTTGGCCAAGCAAGAAATTGGTATCCCACTGTATATCTATCTAAAGCAAAATGCAGATTGCATTGTAAATTAATCAAGTTGCCAGTTATTCAATGTGATAAGGATAGTCTAATTGGAAATACTGTATTTGCAAATGTAATGTTTTCTTTCCACTATGCTGTCAGAAGCTAATTTTACAAAATAAAGTATGTAAAGCAAGGAGAAAAGATGGAGAAATGGAGGGAAAAGCTGTAATAACAAAACGTACTGGAAGTCGATTCCGATTCTGCTCAGTCAAGAAATCCAACTGCAAATCATGCAGGTAATACTGAAATGATTTCCCATTTCGATCACAGAAGAGTAAAGATTTGTTGACAAATAACTGCAAGATGTCCTCTACTTCTTCTGTGTCCTTCTCCCAGAGAACACACAAAACCTGTTTAGACAATGAAAAGTGTGTTGATAATATGCACAGGATTTGTAACAGAAATTCAAATTATATAAAAATTAAAAGTATTTCAGCAGTTTGTTCATTTAGCTCTTTCAGAGAAAAGGGCTGCATTTAAATCGTGCTGGGACAAATGTCCTAGCTAAACGAATTAATAATAATAATCCTTGCATTTGATATAGCGCTTTTCACGTCGGGAGGACGTCCCAAAGCGCTTCACAGAACACACTGTAAAGTGAATTGACTGTATATTTGTGGGCGAACGCGGCAGCCAATTAACAGGGAAATAAACAGGAATTTAAACTAGTAAATGGGGGGGGAATATATAGGTAAGAGAAACCATAAGTTAGCATTAGAAAAAGTAAAGATGACAGTGCAGAATAGCATGCCAGATAATAGGAATATGTTAACTAGGGGTAAGAAGCTTGGCAAAGTAGATAAGGTATCAGAGAGTAGAGGAAATGGTAGAAAATTAAAAATGTTATATCTGAATGCGTGAAGTATTCGGAATAAAACTGATGAATTAAAAGCACAGATAGACACATATGGGTATGATCTAGTAGCCATCACTGAAACACGGTTACAAGGAGATCTAGGGTGGGAGTTAAATATTCCAGGGTTCTCAGTTTACAGGAAAGATAGGCACTGTGGGAAACGAGGTAGGGGTGGGAGGGGGTGGGTGGGGGGGGTAGCCCTGTTAATTAGGGATGAAATAAAAGCAGTGGAGAGGAAGGATCTGAAATCCGATGACCAGGACGTCGAGACAATATTGGTGGAAATAAAAAATAAAGGGCAGAAAATATTAATGGGAGTGGTTTATAGGCCCCCAAACAGCAATCACAATATAGCACGAGATATTAATCAAGAAATCAGTGGAGCATGTAGGAAAGGTAAAGCGATAATAGTGGGTGATTTCAATCTCCACATAGATTGGGAAAACCAAATCGGCAAAAGTAGGTCAGAAGAAGAGTTCATTGAGTGTATGAGAGATAACTTTCTAGAGCAGCATGCCGAGGAACCAACTAGGGGACAGGCCATCCTAGACCTTGTTTTGTGTAACGAAACAGGGCTAGTTGGCAGTGTAGGTATTAAGAATCCTCTAGGGCAGAGTGATCACAATATGATTGAATTCTGCATTAAGTTAGAGAGGGATATAGTTAAATCCGAGGCAAGTATTCTGAATTTAAATAGGGCTAATTTTGTAGGTATGAGGAAAGATTTAGGTAAAATAGACTGGAGAATAAGATTAAGAGGTAAAAATGTAGACCAACAGTGGCAAATATTTAAGGATGTAGTGCAAAATTCTCAGCGGTCGCATATTCCCTTGCGGAATAAGAGTACCACAGGGAAAGCAATTCATCCGTGGCTAACTAGAGCAGTTAGGGAAAGCATCAAATTAAAAGAAAAGGCTTATAAAACTGCCAAGAAAAGCAGCAAATCTGAAGATTGGGAGAGTTTTAGAAACCAGCAAAAAAAACTAAAAAACTCATTAAGAGCGAGAAAAAGGAGTATGAGGGTAAGCTAGCTAGGAACATTAAGTCTGATTGTAAAAGTTTTTACAAATATATTAAGAGGAATAGGCTAGTGAGGGTAAATGTAGGTCCACTTCAGTCAGAGACGGGAGAAGTTGTAATGGGGGATAAGGACATGGCAGAGTCCCTAAATGGGTACTTTGCATCTGTCTTCACCCTAGAAGACACAACAAGTCTGCCAACAATACAGATGCACCAAAGGGATAAGGACAGGGAGCAACTTAGGGAAATTTTCATTAGTAAATTGGGAAATTTTCATTGGTGGTAGGGAAACTGTTAGCACTAAAAAGTGACAAATCCCCTGGTCCGGATGGCTTGCATTCCAGGGTTTTAAAAGAGGAGCTTATGAAATAGTGGAGGCCTTATGTCTGATCTTCCAAAATTCCTTGGATTCTGGAACAGTCCCCATGGATTGGAAGATCGCAAATGTCACACCACTATTTAAAAAAGGTGGAAAGGAAAAGATGGGGAACTATAGGCCAGTTAGTCTCACATCAGTGATAGGAAAATTTTAGAATCATTGATTAAGGATGTGGTAGTGCGGTATTTAGGGGAGCACAATATAATTAGGCCAAGTCAACATGGCTTTACAAAAGGGAAGTCATGTTTGACAAATCTCATAGAGTTTTTTGAGGATATTTCGAGTAAACTAGATAAGGGTGAATCAGTGGATGTGATCTATCTGGACTTCCAGAAGGCATTCGATAAGGTGCCGCATAAAAGGTTAGTCCAAAAGATAAGGGCCCATGGAATTGGGGGGAGCACATTAACGTTGGGGAATGGTTAACGGGTAGGAAACAAAGAGTAGGGATAAACGGGTCCTTTTCAGATTGGCGGGATGTGACTAGTGGAGTCCTTGGGCCTCAGCTATTTACCATCTACATCAACGATCTAGATCGAGGACATCGAAGTTAATATATCTAAATTCGCGGATGACACAAAACTAGGAGGAAGTGTCAACACAGAGGACAACATTAAAAAAATGCAGCGAGACATAGATAGGTTAGGTGATTGGGCAGGTAGGTGGCAGATGAAGTATAATATAGGGAAGTGGTAGCAAAAACAGTAGAGCGGGTTATTTTTTAGAAGGGGAGAGATTGGAATGTGTTAGCGTCCAGAGGGACTTGGGTGTCCTTGTACACCAATCACAGAAAGTTAGTCTGCAGGTGCAGCAGCAATTAGGAAGGCGAACGGTATGTTAGCATTCATTATGAAAGGATTAGAGTATAAGAGTAGGGAAGTGTTGCTGCAACTGTATAGGGCCCTGGTGAGACCACACCTGGAATACTGTGTGCAGTTTTGGTCTCCTTATTTAAGGAAAGATGTACTTGTCTTGGAGTGGGTGCAGCGTAGATTTACTAGGTTAGTACCAGGGATGAAGGGAATGAGTTACGAGGATAGGCTGACCAATTTGGGCCGATATTCTCTAGAATATAGAAGAATTAGAGGGGATCTTATAGAAACCTATAAGATCATCAAAGGGCATGATAGAGTAGATAGTGGGAGATTGTTTCCCCTGGTTGGAGAAACTAAAACCAGGGGTCACAACCTTAAAATCAGAGGCCAGCCCTTTCGCACTGAGTTGAGGAAGAACTTCTTCACTCAAAGGGTGGTGAATATATGGAACTCACTACCCCAAAGGGCTGTTGACGCTCAGGGGATAAGGCAGGGTTAGGTTATTAGCTGGAGTTAGATTAGAAGATCAACCATGATTGAATGGCGGGGCAGGCTCAAAGGGCCGAATGGGCTATTCCTGCTCCTACATGTTATGTTACATTGTAGAAAAATTATCTTCAAATTATAATAAATTAAAATCCATGTTTCAATTAAGGAGATGTAGTCACAGTCTGCTTATATTGATTGTGCTTTCATGTAAATGAACTATTTTTTGCTTTACAAAAATACAAGTACAGTATCATGCAAGTACTGAGTCACATTATTATACACTGTGAAAAAGCAACGCACAGGGCAAAATGTTTTAACAGGAGCACTTAGCCAAAGCCCTAATTGGTAGGGTGATCATACAGCGGGAAAGCTTACCAGACAGTAATATCAATGGCAAGCTATGTGGTTTTAGCTCCAGCAGTACCCCAACCCACACTCTGGGGTCCCCAGCCTTGACTCTTGCCAACCTGCACTTAATACTTTCCGGAATTAGGTAAGCAGGATGTGTCCCTCCAGGGAGAGTGTGCGATTCCATTCCCACAATCTATCTCTGGAATTTCCATGTGAAAGTGGGATGCATGGAATTCTCGGTTTGGTTTGGATATTCTTAAGCATGGTGATGGGTTTCCACGTGTGACAGACATCCGGTTGACCAAAATAAAATTGTAGCAGTGAGAGGGTTAAATACTTTTCAGTTCCTCCAATTTTCATTTCTCTACAAAACCAATAAAGATACTTTTTGGTAAACCAGCTTCCTGTTAATTGTAATGTTCTTACGGCCAGATGGAAAGTTTACTAGAAAATTTAAAGCAGGTACTCTAATTGTGCCCGTGGGATACTCAGGTAAAAGTTCTGGCAAAAAATTTCAAAACAGCTTTCACTAGCTAAAGAAAGCTTAAGAGCAACATTGTTTTTCCCTTAAGGGTATGCTGCTCCCTGATGTAGGACATACACTCCCTTTTCCTGAATTTACATTCATAGCTCAGATGAAAGCATCACCTTTCAGATGTTGTGGTAAAGGTGCCTTGGATAGTTCAGATTTCTCAATAGTAATGTTGCTATGGATCTCCCAGTAGCTTGATTTCACGTGAAATCTCCTTTCCCCCCCCTAATCCAATCCACTCAAAGTGGGGAACCTCTTCTTATTCACCATGCTCAGTAAAGCAGAGCTTGAGCAGCTTTTCTTTTGCTTTGTGGCTCAACACATTAATGATCCAATAACAATGGGAAATTCCTCAATAAACTCCAAATTAAGATGAACCACCAACTAAAACACAGATTCAATAATTTGTAAAACTATATCTAGCTAGTTCTTATGTAATCATATATTTCAAAAGATAGTGGAAAGCAATGAAACACCGAATACAGATTATGCTGCTGAGCTGCGAGTGGGAGCTGGAGGGGTGGAGGGTGGAAAGGTGTCCGAAAGCACAGTCAGAGGCTTTGTTTTGAGTTGTGCCTTGAATGAGGGTAAGGTGCGAGCCAAGCCCTAAGCCACCAATGAAGTATATTAAAATACACAGTCACCCCACTTTGCAATATATCCTGGGAAGCACTTTGAGACGGCTTTACATCGTGAAAGGCTCTAAATAAGGATTCTTATTATTATTACTACATGTGCCTTCTATTCTTACCTTGCATTTTTTTGTATTAAACTTCATTTGCCAGTCATCCGCCGCAAATGGAACTAACTTACATCAAGCCTGCAAATTCAAGTCATTAAATTATATAAGGAACCAGGCCCCTGAGGCACCACAATTAAATCCTCTCTCCCCTATTTTCATGTATATC